AAATAATGTCGGCATACTCCAATTTTGGTCGCACGAGTGCTTTATACGCTTTTAGTTTTAACGTGGGAGGAGTGTTACACAGTTTTCTTTTCAAAAAGGATAATTTCTTCAGTGCACCCGAACACACATTTTCAACGTGCGTTTCCGAACTGAGGTTACTGGTAAGTGTAACTCCCAGATATTTAACCCGATCAGCTCTCGTGATTGCAGCATTTCCTATGAAATATGTGAAATGAAGGGGTAACGTTTTGTTGGTAAACGTGACGGAATTTGTTTTTGAACGATTTATTTTTAGTCCCCACCTTATACACCATTCGTTAATTGAGCGCAAGGCATCATTAAGTTTAATTTGGTCTTCTTGGTTATTTATGGATGTGTACACTACGCAGTCGTCCGCAAATAGTTTAATCTGGATTGGTGGCTCGACACAAAAATAAATATCATTAATATAAACCAAAAAAAGAAGAGGTCCGAGGACTGAGCCCTGCGGAACTCCCGAATGCACTGCCAACTCTTTCGAGAGACAGCCATTTATGGTAACACACTGTCTCCTGTTACTCAAGTAGCTCGCGATCCATGCTACAACCTTCTGCTCAATGCCTATAGCTAATAATTTTGTTATTAAATTCTGATGGGGTACGACGTCAAAGGTCTTAGAAAAATCCAAAAAGATGGCATCGGTTTGACCTTTCAAATTAAGCGTTCTAATTAAATCATCAGTTATTTCAGCCAGTTGGGTGACGGTCGACAAACCAGACCTAAATCCATGCTGCTGGGCATACAGTAGTTTGTTATTTTCTAAGTAAGTGATCATGGCCTTAAATATAATGTGCTCAAATAATTTACAGCAAGTACTAGTTAAGGAAACAGGCCTGTAATTGTTAACTTCCAAAGTGGAGCCCGATTTATGTACCGGAATTATTTTTGCCGAGCGCCAGTCATCAGGAATAACTGCAGCGTCTAACGATGCAGTGTAAATGCGATGTAAATATTTTGCCACCCAAACAGCATATCTACTCAAAAAAGTATTAGATAGTTCGTCCGGACCAGGTGATTTCTTTACATCTAGTTTGTGCAAAAGGCAGAGGACTCCATCCTCAGTGATTTCCACTTCTGGCATAAGGCTATCAGAGTCATATGACCGCAACTGAGCATGCGTGGCTGTCCGTGTAAAAACGGACTGGAAAAAGACATTAAATTTGTTGGCAATGGTAGTCGCCTCAATAATACTTTCTCCCGCGACCCTGATCTCTGAAATGCCTCGTTTATCTTTTGACAGATAGCGCCAAAAGTTTTGGGGTTCATTCTTCATGAATGACGGTAGAGTATCTGAAAAAAAGCTTTCCTTTGCCGATCGCGTTAGTTCTCGCAACTTAGAAGTAAGGCTTGAAAAATCACTCGTCTTCCGACGCTTGCGCTGACGCTTAATTTTGCGTTTCAAATGAATCATTTCTCTCGTGAACCACGGATATTCCCTATTAACTCGTTTCTTTTTTAACGGCACATATCTTTGCTCGCAAAAGAGAACAATTTCTCTAAAATTTGACCACATTTCATTGACATCATTAACTTGGCTAGAACAATCAAAGCGCGATTCCAAGTATTCTAAAATAGCGTTATCATCCGCATGAGTGTAATCTCTCACGAAAGTATCCGACGGTCTAGTAAGTGAACGTGTTCCTGAAACAGGACATGACACAGCAAGCAACTTGTGATCAGATATTCCTTCTTCTACATTGGCTGAACAACCTTGGAACGAGCTGCTAACCAGTGCCAAATCAAGGAGGGATGATGATGAACTGTCAACCCTGGTAGCCTCAGAAACTAGTTGTTGTAAGCAGAAGTTGAATGCGGTCGTAATCAGTATATCTGCACTTCGAGATTCTTTGCCATCATAAGAAAAATCAGCCCAGTTTATACCCGGTAGGTTGAAATCTCCTGTTATTATAATCCGGGATCGAGAATTTGTATTATCTGCAAGGTAGTCTTGAATGGCTTCTAAGTATTCGGGCGAAGAATTCGGTGGTCGATACACGCCCCCTAAAAGTATTCTTTTACCAAGAAATTTAATTCTGCACCACACGCTTTCGTGGTTGTTGATGCCATCCAAAACAGTAAATGCGACGTTGTTTTTAATGGCGATTGCTACTCCTCCCCCACGTGACTCCCTATCTTTACGAATAAGCTTGTAAGAAGACGGTATGACTTCCGAATCTTGCACATCTGCGTGTAGCCATGTCTCAGTGATTACTAAGACGTGTGGCTGATAACAGGAGATAACGTCTTCAAGGGCACTGGCTTTGTTAACAACACTACGCGCATTCAGTGAAACAACTCTGAGAATTTTGCTCACAGGCTGTCATGAACTATAGGGCTTCACCCTATAGTTCAGGATGATGGCACAGAGTTTTTCAAAGCAATGGGGTTTAGGGGCCGGGAGGGCAAAATAGACTTTAAGCGGGTAGACTTAACTAGAAGGAGGTTATCTGATTGGTGGCTAAAGTCAAGGCACGAGTGAAAATTAAACCCTTCACTGCAAAGTATGAATCCTCAAACTCACTTTTTAAAGAAAAAAAAATAAATCTAGTTTTTGGTTCATTAAGTATTACGGCTTGGTGGCGCTAGCCACCGCCCGTTCTAAAGGTTGCAGCCTTATCCATCCATCCATCCATCCATCCGAGGAGAGGCCGCTTGTCGGACTGTCCGTGTTAACAGTGCTGACGGCTGTACTTACCATCGTGCTGTAGCGTACTAGAATTATTCTGTATGCCTCACTCTACATCTAGTAATTTATTTACAAAACCTACAGCACCCGCGTGGGGCACTGGGGAGACAACATTTAAAATGCAGATTTAAAATACATATACAAAGAAATAATACATTTTAGAGCAATAAAAAATGAAAGAAAAAAGTATGACGACAAGCCACTAACACCGCGAGATTTGCGTAAGCATAATAAACACACACACACGCATATATATATATATATATATATATATATATATATATATATATATATATATATAAGGGAAAGAAGTGTATACCTAAGGGCTCGTTTTTCCGTGTTTTAACACAATATTAATGAGATATAACATACAGTAATGCCAAGGAATGTACAGGGGAAGTTATTAAAACCAATGGAATGTAAATAAGAAGAAAGAAAAGTGGATGAAAAAATTACCAACTGTGAGCAGGAATCGAACCTACGACCTTCGAATTACGCGTTCGATGCTCTAACGACTGAGCTATCACAGCGGCCCTCCCTCCATCCACTTTTTTGGGTTTATCTGTGAATTTAGAAGTAGGAGCGACAGTCAGCGCTATCTATAAGCCAAACAACGAGTGTGAAAACACTCTTATGCGCATGTTTGGCGTCACGTAGCACGTGAACTTATTATGAGCGGGCAGCTGATTAATTGTCCCTCTTATACAACCTAAACACACCAAGTCTGCCAGTACGAGACCCTCGTTCAATGAAATAAGGGAAAGAAGTGTATACCTAAGGGCTCGTTTTTCCGTGTTTTAACACAATATTAATGAGATATAACAGACAGTAATGCCAAGGAATGTACAGGGGAAGTTATTAAAACCAATGGAATGTAAATAAGAAGAAAGAAAAGTGGATAGCTCAGTGGTTAGAGCATCGAACGCGTAATTCGAAGGTCGTAGGTTCGATTCCTGCTCACAGTTGGTAATTTTTTCATCCACTTTTCTTTCTTCTTATTTACATTCCGTTGGTTTTAATAACTTCCCCTGTACATTCCTTGGCATTACTGTCTGTTATATGTCATATATATATATATATATATATATATATATATATATATATATATATATATATATGGGCAACAACGGCGCCTGTTCTGCGCGGCGTTGTTTCCAATTTAAATACCTAATTAGGCAGTTAAGCCTAATACCAGAAATAGTGCGACTTGCTACATGCATTAGTCGGCAACATGCATTTGGTCGCGTCTTCATACAGTGCGTCGACGCACAGTCGCTATTTTTTTTTTCTTAAGGTGATCGACGCATGTTTAAAATCTGTACTTGGGTCACTCTGTGTATAAAGAGTACGTACAGTGCTCGTAAAAAGTTGCCAGGCCATATTCCAATGTATTCTCGTATGGGAGCGTGGCCTTGTAACTTTAGACCCCACCTCCCCCGTACGTACTAAATTTGCAAAATGTTGGTTGATTCCTTCTTTACGAGAATAGCTCATAACACGAGAGTGCTGTCTCCATAAAAGTGTACTTTATGTGACTTACATAAATAGTGTTAGTAGAGCAGGCAGTAGCGCAGCAGGTGGGATGCTGCGCTACGCAGTACGGATTTAAGGACGCAGCTATGGGCAGCTCAACGGGATCACGACCTGGCGGACAGGTTGGCCCCATCTGTCCCGACGTGGGAGCGGCCCACTACGTGCTAGTTCACGCCCCTACGGACCCAAATAAGGTGTTTCTGTACCACACCATACAACAGGCACGTATTGGCAAAAAGGAGCCAAGGGCCCCCCTTCTGAAATTTGTCCAGGCGGCCATATTACCGGGCAACTTTGTTTTCCCATTTTACCACGGAAAGACTTGCTTTCAAACAATTAGGCGTCTCCCCCCCCCCCTAAAAAAAATACTGGCTTTTGTATGCAGTACAATGTGTACAGGTATTGCGCCAACATAAGACAGCCTTCGACGTGGATTGACCCCCGTTGATTGACACACTGTCACACTTCCAACGAGCATCTTGGTCCATGTTCATGACGTTTTTGGCAGCCCTGTTTGATTTCCCGTTCCATTCCGCTACGTTTAATTCTGACGCATATCCACGTGCACTTTCATGACGTCACCTCCGTGACGGAAATTACGTGAGTCAATTTTTGAACTGGTTTTAAAAGCATCAAAAAATTTAGGGGAGAAGTCGCTTCCGTGCGCTATTCCCCAATGGCAGTCGCGTAAATAAGCACCATTAGCTGTGGTTGACTCTATGTTGTGTTTCCACTTGCAAAGGTGGAGGGCGTTTGGTACACTGTCGGAAGGACCGGCGCTCTCTACAACGACTCGGCGTCCTGCACCAAGTACGAAGTGAAACACGAGAACGGCAGGATTTATGAGGTGGTGCTCAACTACAGGGACAAGTCGTGAGTATACACCTACCGTTCTCGAAATGTTATTTATGACAAGGGTACAAAAATATCCGGGCATTTATAGTTTTGTAGCAGCACACACAAGTCTTGCATCGCGAGACAGTCACATGGTTAGACGCTGTTAGCACGAAAGCAAGCACACTTTCAAAAGTCAAAGCACATGAACAGCTTCAACTATCTTACATGATAAAATCTATCTATCTATCTATCTATCTATCTATCTATCTATCTATCTATCTATCTATCTATCTATCCATCCATCTATCCATCTATCTATCTATCTATCTATCTATCTATCTACCTATCTATCTATCCGATTAGAGGCAACGTCTAGAAATTAAAGAAATCCTTGCCAATAGTGGATCCGGTGCTATTTGATGCTGCCGTCCACTTAAGCGCGAACGTATAACAAGCCCTAATAAATGCCGCAACAAGAAATAATGTAAGAAAATGACAAGATTGTTTGTGGCTCTGCTAAGCGTATTGAGGTTAAAGCTCTGGTCGGTCTCGCGTGGGTTTTTTTTTTTTTTTAACAGCAGATCTGTGTTGCAAATCGTTCTAGGTCTGACGAACAACGACAAAAAAGACAAGAAAAAAAAACTCTGTCGGGTATGCGCCACGGGAATCGGGAAGCTTCACTACCGAGTGAAAACGAAATCAAATTTATCCGCGGGGAGGAACTTCCAGTCGGTCTTCTAGAAAATCGTCATCGTGAGCGCAAAACTCGGCCGGCACGCGCGCTCTTCGCCCTCTTCTTGCGCTGCTGCTTGGCTCTCAGAACGAGTGGGACAATTTGCCCGGCGTGGGATGCAATAACTCGAATGGGCCAGAGAACGAGTTCGAAGAGATGGGAAGAAAAGGAGAGAGAAGTACGTAGAGAGAGAAAGTAGACTGATATAAAGGAAATGAACACATACAAATGTAGAAAGACAGAAAGAAATAGACAGAGATTATGAAATAGGAAAAACAGACAGAAAAAGGGTGGAAAACCACAGAGAAAGAGAAAATTGTAAGGGAGGAGAAGAATGAGAGCGATAGGTATAGAGAGAGCGAAAGAAAACTAGATAGAGGAAGCAAGAAATAAAGAGAGAGGGGAGGGATGGTGAAACGAGAAACACAGAGAGAGAAGGAGGGGGAAAAACAGGGCAGTGAGAGACAGAAAGAAGCAGAAAGAGCATGATAAAAATCAATAGCGAAAACAGAGAGAAATTGAAAAAAAAAGGAAAAAGTATAAGTAAAAGCAAGATTCGAGTGGCCGACCAACTCAACTCTTCCTTGAGTCTTGCCACAGCGAGTGCGCGCTCTCTCAACTTTTTTTTAAGACGATAGTCTTTCTTGGGGACCTTCGAGGGAAAAATTTTGGCCTGTCTGTCTGTACATTTGTCTGTTTGTCTGCCCTAACGATATCTCAAACGGCACCAAACGGACAACCCCATCCGCAGCGCCCACCAATATTGCTCAAGGTTTAGCGTTCATAGTTGTGCGATTGTCAATTTAAAAAAAAAGCAAATATTGCGCATATCTGAGGCGCCATAAGAACACGTCTATGTTTTGCATGTATGCCTTCATACTTGAAGAGGCACACACAAGTAACCCTAAGGACTGTAGCGTTTAACGCGCTGCACTGACAGTGCAACGCGATACTCAAGAAGGTGTTTCCAACGCTTTGCTACGACGGCACGGTGGTGGCACCTGCCCGTCGCTTTGCATTCTACAACTTATCACCTCCGTGACTGTCTTTCTCCGTGGTCGCGCACGCCTTCGTTTTCGAAGATAACTGCCAGATGGCGCTTGTGCCTAACGTGCCTAGCAGCGCCTCCAAAATACCATTCACAGATTTTTTTTTTTTTTTTTTTGCGCAGAACATCAAATGAACGTTTTGTTCACTCTCTCCAGACACAAGACTATCGTCTTTCGACGACATTTATAGTGTAACATGTAGATTCGGGCCAATTTTTTTTTCTATTTATCATAGTTCGTCACTAAGCCGATATGTGACTATAGACTGTTCGAAACAAATTAACTACGTGTCCACTTTTATACGTTGGTGTTGTTTGCAGGAATGCGGTAGTGAAGAATGCGTTTCGCGTGGTGGAAGATTCCGACCACCCGGCCCAGTTCTTTTTCGCGGATAAAGGTGAGCGTGCGATTGTTGGTGGTTTTCAGTTGTGGATGTTTCGGGCACACCACGTGGACCAGTGGAAGTGTCGAGGAACCCCGTGCAGTAAGAAAAAAAGGTCATGAGGGACATGACATGCAGCGTAAAATAGGTGCCCTCAATTTCTTCCTGGCACAGAATGTTGCTACGCCAGTTCGGTCTCAGCAGCGTCTCTCTCATTTGTTCATTGTGCATCCACAATTACATTCAAATTTTTTCTAGCCATGCTTTGCTCTTCAATAACTCAAGTCTAAAATTTTGCTCTAGAGCTTGCATTGCAAAAAGGGGCCAACAAAATAACAATCTTTTGAAAGAGGTAAACTTAGTTTGGCTCTGCCGCATTGCAAACTGTTATGCAGGGAAGCATATCAGAACTGTCCAGGGAACGTAGTGTGCGACATAACGTGCCTCCAAAACACGAGTTCTGTTGTTGTTGTTGTTGTTGTTGTGTTGTCCAGGCCGGGTTTTGTGGAACACCCCGAAAATGGCTTTACGGACCCCTGAGGTCCGTGGACGCCGCTTGAGGACCACTGTTCTAAATGCCGCCGTATGTGAGACACTATCCTCAGTGCGGAATAACTAAAAAATGCATTTACATTTGTTTCAGACGGCCAGAAAGTTGCAGTGCGGTTTTTGGGGTCCGACTACAAGAACTGGAATGTCTGCTTCGGCTACGTCTACGGAAACAGTAAGGCGCTGAAGCTAGCTCATTATAGATAAAGCAATAATGGACATATATATATATACATGAAACATTACGGCGACATCGAAAATATGTTTGGAGTGTCCATATCATTGATGTCGCGATAAAGAAAAGAAGGCTGCGAATGAAACTCAGTCTCGCAGTGGGAAACACATTGAGCAATGCTAAGAGCTATTTCGATTACTTAGTGACGGCGGGAGAAGATTTCTATTCTGAATTGTACAGTTCGGATCTCAGTCACAAAAGCTGAGAAAGGCACTGAAGTTCATAAGAAATCATAGGCGCGCGGTTGGGTAGCGGGGGCGAGGGGGGTGGGTGGGGTGGGTGGGGGGATGGGTGTGTCTTCGAGTCAACTAAATCAGGCGCGTAGCCAGAAATTTTTTTCGGGATGGAAGGGCTTGAAATGGCCATTTTTTGCTCTCTATGCCATGGCGGAAAAATTTCGGGCACTTGCCCGGTGTGCCATCCCTTGGCTACGCTCCTGATATAAGGCAAATACCCCGTGCTCGATATCATATGTGGGGTATAACGTCCCAAAACCACCATATGGTCATAAGAGACGCCGTAGTGAAGGGCTCAGAAACTTCGACCACCTGGATTTCTTTAACGTGCACTCAAATCTGAGCACATGGGCCTACTGAATTTTCGCCTCCATTGAAAGTGCAGCTGCCGCAGATGGGATTCAATCTCGCGATCTGCAGGTCAGCAGCCGAGTTCCTTAGGCACCAGACCACCGCGGCAGGGCATCCCCCTGTGCTCAAGCTCATGTTTTTAGTGCTATACAAGATATAGCCGGAGGCAGCTTAGAATAACTTGAGAGAAACATTCGATGTCAATGAACGCCAAGAACAAGCTTTCTCGTAGAACTTAACTGCATGTGGCCCAATCCCGTAATCGTATACCTCGTTAAACAAGTGAGGTGCGATATGCACTAAACAAAATGGCGTCGGGCAATGGCATCGCGAATGGCAGATTTTCCGCAATTTTGTTCTACCTTTAGAAAAGTCACTGCCACTATTTATTGAATAACATTGTTTTCTGGCTGAAAACAAACGAGTAATATTAGGGAATTTTCTGCCTCATGATTTCCAGCCTCACTATATATAGTATTGCAAGTTAATAAAACTGTTGCTCTCTCTTTCTCCCTCTCCCCTACCCCTTCTAGTACCTGTGTACGGCATTGGTTCTAGAGCGCCTGTGCTGGATCCCAAGTACATGGAGGAGGCCATGGCCGTAATGAAGAAAAATGATATCACCACTGTCGAAAAATGCACACCATTCTAGAATACGTACGCGAACAAAAGCATTAAACGTGGTACGTACTGAGCACTTCGACGTAATAAATGATGGTAATGTGGCAACTATCTCAACAGACGTCTAAGTTTATAAGTCGTCAATAAATCAATCAATTGATGAATAGATCAATAAATGTTTACCATTAATTCACTTATCAAAACGAAGAATGAAGGGTGAACTTGTCGGCTAGTTGGTTGAAATGGACGCTTGGACAAGAACTGAAAGCTGCACGTTTGCCGTTTTACGAGGTTTGTGTGGACAAAATACTGTGCAAACACTTGGATATGCAGAGTGGTGTACAATCCATAAAAACGTATACCTAAAGATAAAGTGTAAGGTTGAACGTGGTACAATGCGCGTAACGAGTAAAATGCAAGTAAAAGCAACCTTACAGCCGGACATACAAACTCGTGCCTTGTAGAAAACAGGATGCATCATACCTCGCAGACCTGTTTATTCGTCGACGTTTTAAATGTAGACGAATAAACACTTTTTTAGAAACATACGTTTTTGACCAGTTGTGGACACACGCGCACACACACACATACGTACAAACATACGTATACGCGTTCGTGCGAAGATGTTTGTCGCAGTTCTTGGAACAAGGTCAAATTACAATGAAAATACGAAAATATTGCTGCATTGCTGGAAAACACAGTAAATTTCGTAATACAGTAAAGTTGTTTTCAACAATGCGTTGTAACAATCCCATCGGTATCCAGCTACCTATGACAGCGGCCACACGAATTTGGGTGTGGTCAGAGGACTGCGCACTTGTCGATGACCACCTCGGTGACCACCTCGCTTGGCGCTGATTGTTCCGTAAGAGGCGATCACTTCAAGCACGGTCACGCCTCTTGCCGAATACCACGTGACTGCCGTCCGTGAAGGCAGCCCTGAAATGAAAGAGTGCCGAGAGAGAAAAAAAATCGCGACGAATATTTTTAGCCATATTTATCGTAGTGTACGAAGCATATTACAGAGTGAAGTAGTGGCATATTAGAGCACAATTATTACTCCATCGCGTTCACATAAGAGGGGAAAATCGACGCTATAGCCAATGTAAACCAATCCAACAGACAGCCAACACTAGCCATGTGAGGCTCCACATAACATCCTATTTACCGTACCCTCTTTATCGTACCCTTTTTTCAAAATTCGTGTTAAATGTACATTTAGTCTTGGTTACACTTCTATTGGACACTTTGCACGTCATAAATTGGTTTTCGACTGCAAATTCGAACTGGAAAAGTATTTTTTTTATTTAATGCTGATACAAAAGCTTATATCTTAATACTAGAGGTGAATCTACAAAGCTTCTCTTCTGTAAGCGTGTTTTCCCATGGGCCAGCTCGCTTCGCTAATCTATAGACCCTGCATCGTGATTTGCTGGTATTATCTCACCAATTTTTTTTTCTGTGTCATTTCTGTGAATACGGGCCTTGATTCTTACACACTGTGGGTTTATTTCCTATAAAATAAGAAGGATTAAAAGCAAGTTTAATGCGCACATGAGATGTGCAGTGAAAACTTAGTCCTAATTCCTTAGTCCTAGTTTTACATCCTCTTACAATGTAAGTACGCTAAAGATCGTGATTAAGTACGGTCCCTTGGTTGGGGAGCATGATGAAGAACTGCGAGCCGTTCCTGGTGGGCTCCATGTTGGCCATCGAGAGCAGGCCGAGTCGCGCATGTTTCAGCGCGTGAAGTCCTAGTTTTACATCCTCTTACAATGTAAGTACTCTAAAGATCGTGATTAAGTACGGTCCCTTGGTTGGGGAGCATGATGAAGAACTGCGAGCCGTTCCTGGTGGGCTCCATGTTGGCCATCGAGAGCAGGCCGAGTCGCGCATGTTTCAGCGCGTGAAGTCCTAGTTTTACATCCTCTTACAATGTAAGTACTCTAAAGATCGTGATTAAGTACGGTCCCTTGGTTGGGGAGCATAATGAAGAACTGCGAGCCGTTCCTGGTGGGCTCCATGTTGGCCATCGAGAGCAGGCCGAGTCGCGCATGTTTCAGCGCGTAAAGTCCTAGTTTTACAACCTCTTACAATGTAAGTACTCTAAAGATCGTGATTAAGTACGGTCCCTTGGTTGGGGAGCATGATGAAGAACTGCGAGCCGTTCCTGGTGGGCTCCATGTTGGCCATCGAGAGCAGGCCGAGTCGCGCATGTTTCAGCGCGTGAAGTCCTAGTTTTACATCCTCTTACAATGTAAGTACTCTAAAGATCGTGATTAAGTACGGCCCCTTGCTTGGGGATCGTGATGAAGAACTGCGAGCCGTTCCTGGTGGGCTCCATGTTGGCCATCGAGAGCAGGCCGAGTCGCGCATGTTTCAGCGCGTGAAGTCCTAGTTTTACATCCTCTTACAATGTAAGTACTCTAAAGATCGTGATTAAGTACGGTCCCTTGGTTGGGGAGCATGATGAAGAACTGCGAGCCGTTCCTGGTGGGCTCCATGTTGGCCATCGAGAGCAGGCCGAGTCGCGCATGTTCAGCGCGTGAAGTCCTAGTTTTACATCCTCTTACAATGTAAGTACTCTAAAGATTGTGATTAAGTACGGTCCCTTGGTTGGGGAGCATGATGAAGAACTGCGAGCCGTTCCTGGTGGGCTCCATGTTGGCCATCGAGAGCAGGCCGAGTCGCGCTTTCCGTCTGTGATCCCGTTCGCTCTGTGTCTCTTTTCCTATAGACGTGTACTACTGATCGGCCCGGCCAAAATCGGCTCTCTATAGAATAGAGAACAAAACACTCTCTTTAGGAACGTATATAACAGTACATAAACAAAAATAAAATCGGCAGATCCCTCGTACCTGGCAATCGCCGTTATGCGAAGCACGCGGAAGGAAGGTGACCACGTTGCATTTTTTTTTATTGAGCGACACGTCATGAAATGACGCCAAATATATTGTCACAGGTAATGGGTATGAGCCATCAACGGTATGTGGAATCCTTTGGAAGTAAAGAAAGAAGAGGACTTTTGCGTCCTGGTCTGAGGGCAAGCAAGACGTCGTTTCGTCGCTGTCTGTAATTACGTTCGTGGCACTGGTGGAGGGGCTGGGTAAATGCGCCTCGGCTGCAGATTTTCAGCCGACACACCGAGCTATACTTGGAGACAGCTACAGCTCCCACGGCAAGAAGCAGTCGCCGCCTGCGAGGAATATTTCCCGAGTACGGTCCCCTCTCTCAAGACGAGATGGCAACTTCAACTAACAACCAGGCGAGTCGAACCAACGACGCCTATTCTTTTCTCCCGCATGTTTTTCATGCGCCGCAAACACCACGCTCATTTCACGGAGACATTTATGAAGATGTTGACGACTGGCTTGACCACTTCAATCGAGTTGCCAACATCAACGAATGGGATGAAGCTCGCAAGCTGCGGAGAGTTTACTTTGCGTTAGAAGACTCTGCCAAAACGTGGTACGAGAATCACGAGGGTTCCTTTGCGACGTGGCATGAGTTCAGCCGACAGTTTCGTGATGCGTACCGCAGCACTGAAAGGAAAGAAAGAGCGGAGCAGGCAATCTCGTCTCGGAACCAACGACCCAACGAGAGAGTTTCGATGTTTGTCGAGGACATGCTTCGACTCTTCAAGCGTGCTGACCCTGCAATGTCCGAGGAAAAGAAGGTGCGGCATTTAATGCGTGGGGTAAAAGAGCAGCTCTTCGCCGGACTCGTGCGCAATCCACCGAAGACTGTGGCAGAGTTCATAAATGAGGCAACCACAATGGAACGTACTCTCCAGTATAGGTCGTCACAGTATGAACGTCACGACGTGACCCCTGCTGCATGCTTTATCGGGGCTGACAGCGAGAGGCATGCCCTCGCTGAGTTCATAAGAAGCGTCGTGCGGGACGAGCTGCGCCAACTCCAAGCATTGGGACCCCAACCACCCGTAAGTGATCTCACAGACTTAATCCGAAATGAGATCCGACAGCTGGTCACCCCACTCGCGCCAACAAGGCCTGAGGTCCATGTGCTTACTTATGCGGCGGCTCTACGATCTCCTGCACCACATGGCCCTGATTCCACCATGGGGAAAATGGATCAGGCTAGCCATCGATTCCAGGGCACCTCTTCGACTCCACCACCCGCCTCAAGGTTTCCGAGTGCACCAACTTATCGTCCGTCTGGATCGCGGCAGAACGCCACAAAGGCCAGCGTGTGGCGTACGTGCGATAGTTTCCAGCGCGCGAAGTCCTAGTTTTACATCCTCTTACAATGTAAGTACTCTAAAGATCGTGATTAAGTACGGCCCCTTTCGTGGGGATCATGCATGAAGAACTGCGAGCCGTTCCTGGTGGGCTCCTATGTTGGCCATCGAGAGCAGGCCGAGTCGCGCATGTTTCAGCGCGTGAAGTCCTAGTTTTACATCCTCTTACAATGTAAGTACTCTAAAGATCGTGATTAAGTACGGTCCCTTGGTTGGGGAGCATGATGAAGAACTGCGAGCCGTTCCTGGTGGGCTCCATGTTGGCCATCGAGAGCAGGCCGAGTCGCGCATGTTTCAGCGCGTGAAGTCCTAGTTTTACATCCTCTTACAATGTAAGTACTCTAAAGATCGTGATTAAGTACGGTCCCTTGGTTGGGGAGCATGATGAAGAACTGCGAGCCGTTCCTGGTGGGCTCCATGTTGGCCATCGAGAGCAGGCCGAGTCGCGCATGTTTCAGCGCGTGAAGTCCTAGTTTTACATCCTCTTACAATGTAAGTACTCTAAAGATCGTGATTAAGTACGGTCCCTTGGTTGGGGAGCATGATGAAGAACTGCGAGCCGTTCCTGGTGGGCTCCATGTTGGCCATCGAGAGCAGGCCGAGTCGCGCATGTTTCAGAGCGTGAAGTTCTCGTCTTCGGAGAACCGCTGCTCCAACGCCGATCGTCCGAACGTTTTGCCCTTCGAACGTACCGCCCTGCACATTATGGATGAAAAAGTGCGCTTTTAAACCAAGTTCTGGGTGCTTTAATGCGAGTTTCTTGCAGTCGATCAGCGCGTGATTCGAACTTGTATAAGAGATGTTCAGAACAGTGGTTCTCGAAGAGGGGTACTCGAAGCCATTTTTCGGGGCCAAGCCATTTTCAAGAAGAAAACAGCGCTCTCTCTTTTTTTTAAAGCACAGTATAAAATATAGGGTTTGACGGAATTCGGTCTGGTTGGAAAAAGACATTGCGAAAGAAGAAACGCCGACTAATAGAAACACCGAATAGGCGCAGTATGTCGTGTAACAGCGGCCCCTTCTAAATTTTTTTGTATGTTTCACCGCAGAACGCTTTGCATTGCAACGGAACTGACTTGTCTCCCATTCTTCACGAGACGGCCGCAAAACTTTTGTTGCCCCTTTCCAGAGGCATATGGGGGGCGGGGGGGGGGCAATGTCTGAGGGCATAAGAGTTGGGGCAATGTCTCCCCCACCCCCTTCTGAAGGTCGACCCTGCGCACGCCTATGCCCCTTTCTCCGACATGCCGGCGTATTTTTCTTAGGCTTGCATATTTGAAGCAAAACATAGCCAGAAACGACTATAGTTATAGCGCGACAACAGAATGACGACAAAAAGAGAAGGACACGAGTGCTCATGTCCTTCGAGTCCTTCTTGTCTCTTTGTTCTGTTCTCGCTCTATAACAATCGTCATGTCATACCAACTAGCCCAAACTGCCCACACTGAAAGAGGTAATATGCGGCTGGAGACATGGCCGTCGGCAGGATTTTCACCTGGGAGATGCAAACCAGTGTTCCATCGAGTGCGGGGGAAGGGGGCAACATAAGATATACTAATTTCACGCTACATGTACTGCTAATTGATGATTTTCCCTCCGCACCCCCCCCCTCTTTTTTTTCTGTCACTGGAAGGGGTCCCTCGTCATTTCCATGGTGCCACAAGGGGATCCGAAACATGCATTGGCTGAGAACCATTGGTTTCGAATGTTGGTGACAAATAAAGCAGGTATATGAAACAGCATAGAAAGCGGGTAAAAGCGTTAACAACATGGCAACAGGCTAGCGATGGCCTTTGCGCCTTCCATCTTTGATCCCGTTCGCTCTGTGTCCTTTTTCCTATAGACGTGTACTACTAATCGGCCCGGCCAAAATCAGCTCTCTATAGAATAGAGAACAAAACACTCTCTTTAGGAACGTATATAACAGTACATAAACAAAAATAAAATCGGCAGATCCCTCGCACCTGGCAATCGCCGTTGTGCGAAGCACGCGGAGGGAAGGTGACCACGTTGCATTTTTTTTTTATTATTGAGCGACACGTCATGAAATGACGCCAAATATATGTACGAATGTTGCACGCACAGGCATATGTTGAAGAGTTGCAGATGTTTTTATAACCAGTTGTTCGCACTTGCGCGAAAAACGGGCTGTGCGGTGCGGCCGTGCAGCCTGTAACTGTATATGCTTCCTTTGGGTAAAGGTAGGTACCGTACTCACGCCCATAGATATGGTGGCTAGAAAGAGCCACCATACCATACAGTTTCTCTATGCTCACGCCGGACAGAGAGGGTCAATGACGTGTCCGGATTTCGATACATACACACGATTATATAACTCCGGTCGAGATTATCTAATTTGCAGTAAAATTTCCAAAGAATTTAAGGCTTACAAATAAATACGCGTAGCAACTCCGACACACTTCGAGCAGTTCTATCCGAAGAAATTATCGCAATGAACTCATCGTGTGGGCGAGCAAAACGCTTAACTGCCTTGCCGAACTGCAGTGTACTACCGAACTAGAGTGTATTTTACAAGTGTTGAGTGGCGTGACCGCCATAGAGTAACATAGTAAACGTAAACTATGCTTTTCTATGTGACCGCGCCTCGCCGCCCGATCCCTTCCGCGTCGCCCGCAGTGGTGACGCTGCAGTCGAATAGTACTGAAATGGCCGCGCGCGGCGTGCCGGAACTGCTATGCGTTTCGGCTCCTCCATCGCGCTTTCTTGATGCATATTTCTTCGTACCTGCCCATCATTCATGTCTAGCACATGATGCCATAGCCCTTGAAGTATGACGCGCCAATCTACTGAATTTGAGCTCCATAAAAGCCCTTGTGAGAGATCGAAAATAATTAACCGATTTCTCCTTTCTTAACTCGTTTCTCGTTGGTTAAGCGTCTACAATATTCAGAATAACTGAGCCGATTTATTGGAAGTTAGCTGTGCTCATAAAGCTGTGAGATTAAAAAACAAATACCGTGTCAAACGCACGCAGAACCAGGAAGCCATTAAGCAACGTTTTTGTATGTGTGTGTGCGTGTTTACTGTGTATGATACAAGTTAAATTTATTAAAACAAGATGCACCGCTTCCTGCCTGCACATTTGCCACTTAATAATAGAAGTACGCTTTTAATACAAAACATCGTAATAAATTTGCTGGCTTCCAATGACGTTACGACAGTAGAATATTTGGAAAGCAGCACAATTTAAGCTGATACAAAATGAGAATTGGTTACAATGAATTTACGCATATTAATAGACGGGCCATATATACAATTGCATCTCTTTAATATGTTTGTGTATTGTTTTTAATATGTTTACTATGTAATAAGCCTTTCAGAAAGCAATAAGTATTATCTTCCGCAAAACTGGCATGATAAAAATGAGTCGTCAGTGACATAAATGTTGTGACAACATTACTTATATTCGGGTTTCTCGTGAAACAATCGAGCGCATGTAGGCTCATATGAGGAACACTGTGCTCTGGATATCGTAGAGACTTCCGACAAAACAAGCATATGATTTAATCTCGGTTTTCATACTTCTCCTTCTATTGTAGTTCGCCAAGAGCCACTTATGATGTAACGCTGCTCAAAGCTCTGCTTAAGTGAGAAGCTAGGCGGATCCTTGAAAATTCTGATTTACATTTTTTTTTTTCGTGTGTGTGTGGGGTCGGCAGGTTCTTGAAACAGTGAATGTATCGACGCAATTTCAGCGTGCCTGCATATTCACTCGTGCACCATGGAGCGTAGCAGGTGTGCGTACACTGATAAAGGCTCAGAAACGCATAACACGGGTTAAAAACGAGCAATTACGCGCTTTCGCAGGCTACGTAGCGCGCGCCACTCCCAATGCAGACGCTTCTGAGATCGTCAGTACCACGGCACAGAACACCTACCAGCACGTTCCTCCGTGCCTACCAGTTACCACGGCGGAAGGAAAGGTTTACTTGTTTTATTTGGGGACCTCAAGTACCATGAGACTACAGCGCCGCCGCTACCCTCAATCGCTGGAGAATCAGTCAAAATACGGCGCGTTTCTCTGCATTGACAAAAATAAATAGCTTACTACGTGCTATTTTAGTAAGGAATCAATCATTTTAATGTGAAGGTAGACGCGTCTTTGAGGTGTATAAATCCTAGGCAAGTTTGAGACTCACGCATTCAGCAGCTCACTAGCGCCAGATTTTCCTCTAGGTATGATTGTGAGAAACTCTATGATTCCACGGCCCTCTTCTAGTACACTGTAGTCTGTAGCCGAGTTAGCCAAATTCAAAGTTTACCATGCCTTCAATATCCGTCATCTTTTGAAAAGCATAACTTTTTTGTTTTTTTAAGAATTCTTGGGAGCATAGAGTTTTCTATTATTAAACAAACTTTTTTTCAGTTAGCGGTTTGACGAATCCAATCCAAGCCGGTGTTGTAGCGCTAGGGTTTAAACAGAAGTCACAAATGCAAGAATTAGTTTACGCTGCATTGCAGTGGAGCTGCGATAATCAAAGTGAGAAAAGCGTGAAGGATATGTAAGCAGAGTGCGAGCTTTATAGCGTACGAACCATGAAAGTCCTGAAAACTTATGGTAGAAAATTCAAAACAAGCGTCCTTGAGGTTTCCAACACCAAGCGCGATTGGAGCCCCGAGGTGGTAGTCCTTCAAACACCACCGAGGAATCGATCAGACATTCTTTTCGAAAGCCTGTGGTAAGTACGCTCACCTCACAAACTAGTCAATACCGAGAGACCCTTGTTTGATTGTTTGATTTCGTTTTTACGTATCCATTAGCAACCCTTCTGCGCAGGTGAAGCGCGCTCCAAGAGGAAAGGTGAGTGTTCATATTTCTTACTTAGTTATCACGCTGACGCTTGCGTACGACCGCATAATAGCCTTTGACGAAACGACGCTGTGAGTTCGTTCGACAAAACGTATACATAGTGTGCACGTGCGTCACGCAGCGGCCCTTCGTCACTTCCGAAATGCGCCACCGACATGCCCGGGTACCTACCGACTCCGTCGCCTATACCACTGCCGTGTTGTCTCCTCGTGCTTGCGCCCGTTTAGTTTTGCCTCACGATGCAAGTTTGAGGGCTGCTAGCGAAGCAAGTTGATTTAGTAGTCCCCGAAGAGGGAGCAGAGCTTCGAGGTGTTTCTTCGCCGAAAGTTATTACCTGAAATTGAGAACGCACATTGCGATTTTCCGAAAAGTACCGGCTTGTTGGGCTGGCGCGGATTAAAAAAAAAAAAAAACTACTTGAAGAAACTCGGTGATTGTTTGCGTCTTCAGGTGCAACTTCATTCCGGGTAAGTGCCATAGCCAAGCACTTACCTGCAAACTTGTCCGCGACCACTGAGTGCACAATAAGCGGGTCAGGGAGGCGGTTAAAATTGTGATAGCGATCGCGTATATTCAGGTATTGCATTGAAACAAACTGTGAAAATGGACGCAAAACAATATTACTTCACTTTGAAGTATATAGCCGATGAGTTCGAGTGGAGGGGAATCAGGATTTTGAAAAAATGGTCAATTAATTTCTTAACACGGTCTCGATCATTTTCAGGGACTCCACTGTACGTTAGCGTACAAAAAAATACAAGGTGAAAAAGATGTCAAACATACGCGACAAAAAAAAAGTGATCACCAGCGTTACTGCGGCACGCACCACGCGAAGTCTCTATCGGCCTCGCATAATATTTTCCTCGGCTGTTTCACAAATTTCTATCAAAGAGGCTCAACATCAGCACTGTTTAAAATACTTGGAGGTGGGGGGGGGGGGGGGGGCTGCTTCTTTGGTGGCTTGGGCCGCAGCAATATAGTAATATTATATCTCTTGTGAACTTACGTAGCTCTGCACGATTTCGATGGGAGCTGCTGCGCTTCGCTCATCCACTGTTAAAATTGCGGCTCGAGAGACTTTGGGCTTTCACTCGTTCTTGTGCCTTGCAATTTGTAGTGTTTGCAGTGAAAGCGGGATACTGGACCCTCGTAGGTTGTGGTGGGCAGCCGGTGGCTGGTATACCGTGTCGCACATCTTGATTTTCTGGTCTTGTATCGAGTGAACAAACGAGGACTTCCTGATCCGATGAGCTCGTTAAAGTACGACAACAAAAACCACAATGCTTCCCCTTCAACATCGTACACAGCAACAGATAACGAGCCCCCCACAAACCGTGCTGCAGCACTGCGAACTGCTGTAGGTGCCCAGGGAGGTACCCAGGCATGGCGGGAGAGGGCCACAACGGCGGAAGTGACATCACATGAACACTATGTATTGCGGTGCTAGATGGTGGTACGCATGTTTAGTGCATGACAGCACACGACTTGCCATGACTACTGGTATCTTGCTTAGAAATAATTAGCACTGGTTTACTGTCTCATGAAATTCGTCACTCATAGGGTGCTGTTAGTCATCATGTTTATTAGAATAGTGATCTTTTTGGTCTTTGAGGCTATACAAATAGATCAACAGGTCTAAGAGTCGAGGAAGTGGTTATCATTGGCGTGCCTGCCGTGTCCGCAGTTTTCAAAACACCAACTGCCTATTTTCAGTGCGCACTAGTGATCGCTTCTGATTTCACATTACAGGTGAAGTATGGTAATGTAACCAACCTGTTCAACGACAGCTCTGTGCAACCAGATAATGGGCGTCAAAAAAAGTCTGGATCTGGACTCTCTGAAAACCGAGGCTGCCGAAAGCGACCACGAAAAAATGCCAACACCCTCAGGAAACCAGTAAGAAGCTTGCAGATGACTCTATGTAATGACGGGGTGGTTTGTCACGTCAGTGTATGTGTGGCTAACGGAATGAACAAGAGAAGACGCACAAGTGAGTCTCAAACAACATTTATAATAGAAAGAAACTAGGGACGATCTCAAAAAACAAGCATATAGATAAACACACTTAAACGAAGTTGAAGTCTGATCAGTTGATTGCTCAATCTATATTGAAAGACGAGGTCTCGCGGCTTGTTGACAACGTAGTATTCAGGAGGCGGCAGTACATGTGCTGTGACAACTCTTGTTGAAGGGGAGCCCAGGCGCGCAGGTAGCACTCATCCCACGTGCGGTCTCGGCGCCAGGACACGACCTCGCATCTGAACTCGACCTTATGCCCTCCCAGGTGGCAGCGGCGAAAAGGAACAGATTATTCCTCTTTCACACACAGACACAGCAAGAGCCGTGCCCAGTACCAGTAGCTATGATCCCCGGCCTCGCCAGGATCACGCAGTGGGTGCTCCTGGTCCGGCGTGTTCCTAGCTTCAGCCACCGCCGTCTGGACTGCCAGGCATACGTCAGGCCCTCGCTGAAAACGGCCAGGACAATTTTTAAGGACAGCATCCTGGTCCAGAGTGTCATTAGGCTAGCTTCGGCTTAGCCCTCTGCACGTTCTATAGGAGTGTCTTTTGTTTGTCTTCTCTCCTTTTTCTTGTTTCCTTCTCGTGCCACCGCCATGCGTGCCACCTGCCCCTGGCTCGCCTTCATGTCGCCGTCATCTTCATTGTCACACATCCGCACAACAATCTCAAAATTCCTTTAAAAGTTCAAGAACACACGAATTCCACTCATAAATTTGGTTCCATTTACTACACTGTATAATGCCATATATTGCAGAGTTTCATCTGGTTTATTCATGGAGAAGCACTGGTCAAGGCTGATATCAATGGTCGGTACACTGAGACACATGCAGCTTATGCCAGGACATAGCAGTGCATTTTCAGCAACTGTGTGCCGATCCCCCGTATTATTCAAGGACTATTATGTACTTTCCAGACTTGTGCCAGTGGTTCTTGGGAATGCTGATACTACGAAAGTTGCTCTCTTAGCACCTCATGTTGCTTAGCTGACTGAGAGATGTTGCTTAAACATTTGAAAGATGAACTTTTTTGTATTGTATTCATTTGAACGTTGTCAGGAGCTGATATGATGTGTAGCAAAAGTAACAACCTCCAGTGATGATGCTTTTGTATCTGCACTTGAAGTAAGAATAGAATGATTTGTTAATGATTCAGGAGTCTGGTAGCTTAAGTACTATCTCGCATCTGTCGAAGACATTTATGTGAATGCCTGAAAGAGAGAAGGCATGATCACGTTAAAGAACCAGCTCTATATTTCGGTCAACAATAATAATAATTTCTGTAATTTAACATGCAAAACCATGATATGAATATGAGGTGTGGCTTATTGGAGAGCTCCAGAAATTTCCACCGTGTGGGGTTTTTAGTGTGCCTTTCAATCCAAGTACACAGTCTTCTAGCTTTTCACCTTCATCAAAATGCGACCGTTGTGACTGGGACTTAACCTAAATCTTTTAGGTCAGCAGCCAAAAATCATTACCGCTGTATCACTGCGGCGACTGGGGCACTAAAGTGCAAAACGATTTTTCACGTATTAGTAAAAAACAATCTGACAATCCTGAAAAGACTCTTACTAAACGAGAAAAAGAAAATGCGGGCGGCAATGACACCTTGAGAGTCCCACACCAAACACCGTGATGCAAGAAATTTCGAAGGCGTCTTCTGGCTCCTATGTAGCTTCCAATGGATAAAAATGACGTACATTCTAATCTGTGGGTGTCATAGATTTAGCATACGAAGTCTCAGAAAATCTCATTGAGGCAACGTGACGGAAAAACCGAAAATACATTTTCAAATTTCTTAAGTCACGCGCAGCAATTTTGGTGCAAAATTTTAAAATGAAACTTCCAACTTAATTTTCTCTGCTAATTAATTAACTTATGGTGGTGAAACCTATGGCCTTAGAGTTTTCAAAGTGCAGTTTTTTTTTGTCAATCTAAACCAAGTCATTGTTCCTCTTTAGTGCCTTTAAGGGGGCATGGATAGCACAGACATATGTGCAGCTACTACTGTCCATCGCCCTGTTATTTTTAAAACAAGCTTCACAAAATTTTGCGTGTTGCTTAAAATGTGCATTTCACTATATTTTGTGTGAATTTGGCTAGAAAATGCAGAGACATTCTAAAAATAATGAAAACTTATTTTTTTGACTGTTTTCATTTTTGAAGGAACATTTATAAAAACGATTTTACAAGTAAAATGGTGAAATCTCGTCTGGTTATTATGTGTGCGCATGGTATACTTTTGAACCAAAATAATAATTGTAGGCATGACCATTCTTTAGCTAAAATTATAAATGTTTTATCACTAGAATTTTAGGGCCTTTTTTCTAAAAAAAAAAGCTTTCGTAAAAATACAATTCTGGTGGTAACAACACTCTTTCACTTCAGAAAGGGCTGCATGGTATTTGGAAAGAAGCAGCAAAAGTTTTCATTTGATAGCTTCAGTGTTTACAGAGAAAATGTTATTTTTCTGCCGAAAAGTAGTGTTAGGAAAAAAATCGCCATTTAAATATGAGTTGCCACGGTGCAATCACGGGATCAGGTGCGTTTGGGGCCATTTTAAAGTGCTTTCCCACTGCACATAAAGACTAGCCACTTTGTGGAAGCACTTGTTAGCAATGCTGGAATATTGTGCCATGAAAATTGAGAAATCACACTTTCAATCATCTTCAGCCTGAGGCTGACTTGGACTCACTCAGACTGAAATTTCACTCAACAATACTAACTCAGAATCAAATTTGCAATTTTTTTTTAGAGGACTCACTCGAACTCAAACTTATTGAAAATTTACTCCCCCATACTCACCGAGACTCTTACGCACGGCTGAATCCGAGTCTGAATGAGTCGACTTATGAAGGAGCTTGCCAATATATGTTGTGGATTGCCCGCCACGTGGCGATTTGTCTGCTCTATTGAAAGTTCGATAAAATGTTCCTTAGATGGTTCAACAGAGTACAAGTAAGTGAGGTAGCCCCGCCACGGTGGTCAAGTGGTTAAGGTACTCGGCTGCTGACCCGCAGGTCGCGGGATCAAATCCCGGCTGTGGCGGCTGCATTTCCGATGGAGGCGCAAATGTTGGAGGCCCGTGTACTCAGATTTGGGTGCACGTTAAAGAACCCCAGGTGGTCTAAATTTTTGGAGTCCCTCCACTACGGCGTCTCTCATAATCATATGGTGGTTTTGGGACGTTAAACCCCACAATCATCTACAAGTAAGTGAGGTACATATAGTTTCCTAAATATACATTAGAGAGAAGTCTGGCGCTAGTGTCTATGGGAGCTGCAATGCATGGCCTTTCAGCGAGCATGGGAATTATGAGTAGTACGTGGATTTGCCTAGTTTTCGTACTTTACGTTCTTTCTGGCTTCACGGGAGCTTGAAGCTTCTTTGTCACAAATCAACAATCGAAAAATGTTCGGCAGTTACGCTTCACCACCTTTGCCTATTCAAAGCACCATTTCAAATCGGCTCACGAAGTTCAAAACGATTTGTTCTTTTATTCTAACAAAACCAAGCACGGCAACAAACAATGTCACAAGTGCGTTTGCCGCCCGTAAGCATGAAGACTAGGCAAATCCATGTCATACCCACAATTTCATGGTCTCTGAACTAATCGCAGTGCCAGTGTCCCTTCCAGTTAATTTTAGAAAACTCTATGGTGAGGACCAGTCTATTTGGTGGTTGCATTTCAACATGAATGGAAAGCAAAACTCCTTGTATACTTATGTTTATACATGTGCTAATTTTAGGTCTCATCTTGCTTGGAGATGTAGGTGTGACTTCCCTCTTAGCCAAAAATGCTGTTTTGTTATTTTCGGAACACTGTCAGTACAAGTTGTTCGGAATTTCAATTGTTAATTTGTGGTGCCATCCTTTTTCAGCTTGCAGCCCAGCAGAATGATGTGGCACAGAGCCTGGCAGGCAAGAGAGCCGGACCAAGGCAGCGGAAGGTTGCGAGACCACCAACAAAGCTGTCACTAAGAAGCAAGAAGCCGCAAGCACAGCCATTGCCATCAACTTCAACAGGGAACGGGGATTTTTCACGAAACGAGTCAGCCATGAGGAGCCCCAGCTCTGCTTGTTCCACATCATCTTGTGAAATACCTAGGCGTTTGCTCAAGGATGACAGCTCATTCTCGTTAAGCCTTGACAGTCCTGTGAACCCTACTAGCTCAACACCAAAAAAGAATGTGAAATGTAACACGGTTGACGCAGTCAGCATTGGGTTGTCTCTTTTGAGTGATATGAGCAACACTGATTTGAGCAGCCATCGCTCTCGGAAGGGTGGCAGCTCAATTGAAGGAAGCAGTAACTGGGTTACCTTCCGGAAAAAAAGAAACAGGGCGAATTGGAGATGTGTTGACAAAGAAAATAGAAAAAAAGCCAGGCTGAGCTTTGAAAGTGAAGATGCTTTCGAATTCACCTGTGAGGAACAAATGGTCACCTTTTATGGTCAGCACACCAATGCCCAATGCCCAAGTCAACAAAGTGGGAACAGAGGGATGGATTCTCAACAGTGCAATAGAGACTCCGCATGTTGCACCAGCCACCAGCTCTAGACACTCAGTCTTAGCACAAGGCTCAGCTACCTTGAAAAAACAAGACCAGCAATCTGGGACACATAAAGCGAACCATGGTCTAAGGCGAAATCTCTCCAGTGCGATGTCGTTTCAGGATCCCTCACTTGGAAACCTCAGTGGTTTGTCAAGAGAAATTTTTCCAGACAATGCTGTGACAACCACAAGCTAAAGTGGTGGACTACAGTGGGCACATGAGTACTCTGACCAACAGTATTCTGTCTAAGCCGGCATGCAGCATCGCACCTCTGCAATGTAATGAGAGCTCTGCTGAGCTTTTTGTATCTCAGCAGACAGATGTTGAAGTTAGCGATATCTCTGTTGATATTGAAGGCCTTCAAGGAGGAGAGTTAAGCAAGGCAGACACAACTCTCGGAGAACATTCTGCAAGGCTGGAACACTTCAGCCCTGCAAGAATGTGTTCACATGAGTGAGACTGAGAAAAGCAAGGGTCACGTTGAGCCCTGAGGCTTCACATCAGTTATTAGAAAAATATTCAGAGCTGTTCACAAAAGAACTGCAGCGTAAAGGTAGCTGACATTATGAAAAAATTGAATGCTGATAAGGAGCGATCTCAGCATTCGTCTTTGGTGATGGCTCAAAGTTGTAGTGAAAAGACATTTTCTTTGGAAAAAGGCACTCTACAGAATGCATTCAAACTCAAGGAACTGCGTGTTGTTCTCACAGACCTAAAGCATGAAGAAGCAAAGAATAAAGATGTGCTGGGTTACTCAACAGACATGTCTTCATTGGTCGACAAGGATGATGCTAAACAGTCAGTCTCATTACAGAAGGCTACCATGGGAAAAGGTTTCGCAATGAACGAAGTGAACATTCTGAAAAGATGCGAGACACAAAATACAAAAGAAAAGCGAAGCACATCCGACCAAAGGCAAAACACCTGACATATCCTCAAGTGGCGAGCCACAGCTCACAACTAGATCCGATGGCATCGACCAGTTGTGTTCCCTGAAGGACAAGGCTTTGTGGGAGAAGTTCCAACTTAAAGACGTGTGTGTCGTACTCACTGATCTGAAGGACCAAAGTGCAACAATGCAACACAAAAGTGGAGCCCATGTGAACTATACCCTCCCACACAAAAAGCCACTTATGCAAGAGTCTGTTTGTGCACCTTTTTCTCGTGCAGATATATGCCATCAAAACCCATCAAGCTCTTGTGAACAACAGGGCAGTCATTCTTGGAATGTAAGCACTGTGCATAAAATCAGCAACACGCCATTTCAGCACTGTCCTGGAGAGTCTTCAAAATTTGAGATGTCAAATGTTCCAGACATGAAGTTGGGCCAGGTGAATCAATTCTTTTTCATGCCAAATGGAACAAAAGCTTCCGCAAACTAGCAACAGGAAAAGTACAAAGAAGAATTCTCAAAGACATGAGAAAAGCATTGATACTGAGCCATTGTTAATGCCAAGTGTTACCTACGGGACTAAAAACTCCTTGAACTCTACCTCTGAAAGCTTCGAAACACAGATAATGCCTAGCCCGCGTTCTTCATCCAAGTATAAAAACAAAGTGCTAGAACAGTGCTCATTGAACGAAACAAAACTAAAGGAGGCCAAAGTTGTTCTTAAGAGATCCAACGCTCAATGTCAGCCCATGAAACCTCCTCCTTCCTCCTCCTCCTGCTTTGAAGGAGAAAAGTGACAAGTCCAGGAATCGCTCAAACAATGGACCTTTAAACTGTGCAGAAGACCGGCGCATCACTGCCTCTAATTGCAACTCATTGCAAAATCAAAGTAAAAAGGAGAACTGGACAGCCTGCATGAGGCGACAGGTCAGTATTGCATGAGGCATGACAGTTGGAACTAAATTTCGCAATCACTAGACTTAATAATTATGAGAAATAGTAAGGAACAGTGTGGTGTTTGCATATGGACTTAAGAAGTGTTAATACACAGCTGGAAAGGGCACCTCGCCAGGCCTCACTGAAAATTTTGGTTATACTCGGGAAGTTACATGGCGCCGCCTTGGAAGCTTTTACTGGAAAAGCCATTTTTCAGCCTGTCGCTATTTGACAAATAAAATTGGTACTGTATCGTTATCATGCCTTCAGGAGGCAGCTTCAGTGCCAGAGCAGATACTTCCTCCTTTTGCCTAGACTAGCATCTGTAAACAGAGCACTTCAACTGTATTATTTCGAGTGCCTGAGGCAAGGGATCTTGTCTTCATGTGATGAGCCGTGACCCATTTTTTTCGTTCTATTGCTATTCTGCTTCACTGAGCCTGTCTAAAAGAGCTGCTTACTCAGCATTAGGCTGCAAGCAGCGGTCATTATATGAGTGCATGTGCATTACATACAACTTTCACTCTGTGAACAAAACATGGCGGCTCCCTTGTAAGAAAGTTGTATGGCTGTCTGTCTAAAATTCCAGCAGTTTATGGCCAGAAGGTGTTTATACTTTCCAAACATGATTAACACTGAGTGCTCTGTGTGCACTTGCAATTTATTTCCACTGAAACCTGAAACCTGAAAGGCAAATTCACACCAGTGCCTCTAGGCAAAATTTTTTTTTGTCCCCTTGTAATCTTTGACAAGCTAACAGGTAGTCCAAGAGAAGACCATACTTGCACATGTACTATTAGTTTGAATTCAAATAATGAGTTGCAAAATTTATTTTGCACCGTTTCATGAGGGCCTACTGTGTGCTGCATCATGGCCAGTAAACAGCCTAAAACAACAAAATATGCCTTATTTAGCATAAAAAGGGCAGTATCAGTAAAAGCTTGTCATTACTAAAAAAGAAGTGTTTCTCTCACACAAACTCATCTGTCAGCCTAAATTGTATGTTGAAAAACAAGTCTGAACAAATGAGAAAACTACAACCAAAAATATATGAAGAAAACGCTACGTTTTCAGGCCAGTTCGGCTTGGAAACGTCGGGTTTTTCTCTTATATGTTTGGTTGGAGTTTTCTAATTTATTCAGTTTCTATCGCAACCAGACAGATTTCTGCCAACTGTTCACATTTAAAACACGTCTGCTTTAGCAGCAGTACTGCTTTCACTGAAACCAGTGAAAAGCTCTACTATTGTCCTGACCAACTTTAGGAGTTTTTTGTGATAGAGGCATAAACTTGTACTATAATTTCTTTTGTAGCCGTTTCACACACACAAAGGAAAAGGTCTTTGAAGTAGCCATTCAACCTCTCCCCAAAATGAAGAAGAACCCCCTTGAAATGGTCATTTATTGCTCACTATGCTATGGTGGAAAACAATTTAAGGGGGAGGGGTGGGAAGGTGGGGGCATGGCTCTGGTGTGCCACCCCCTGGCATTGCCCCTGCTTCTTTGGCACACCTTCACTGTTTATGCAACTCAGTTTTTATGTTCTCGAGTTTATCTGCTAGTTTATTTTCCAGGAACCAGTGTTTGGATATCTCATGAAAGCAGCAGTAGCAAAGAAGTTGTAAGGCAATCTCTTGGTGTGGTGAAACAGTGGTTTTCTAGTCCAAACCTTTAATTATCACTTGTTGCCACCTCTTTTGCTAGCCACTGCACTCCAGGTCTTCTTTTCGCTGTAGTGGCAGTAGATGCGTAGCACAAGCATTCTCACGTTACAGGCATGGATTTAAAATTATGGCCGCTGCCAGCGTTCTGTGGCCATGGAATGAACACGTAGCAAGGAAAAATAGTTTAATTGCTCTTTCTTGGTAAATAAATTGTATGAAACACTGAAAAAATTATAAGTGCACTTTCTGGCAAAAATTTTATTTCACACCCGAAAAAAGAGTTTCAGAGAATTTTAAGGGGGTCTTCACTGTGTGTTTAAACTAGTGGCATAGCCAGGGGGTAGCACACCGGGCCCATGCCTCCTCCCCCACCCCCGAAATTTTGTTTCACCGTGGCATACAGAGCAAAACGACCATTTTAAGGGGTTGCCTTCCCTGGAAATAAGAAATGTGCCTCACCCCCCCCCCCCCCCCACCCTAAATAAAATTTCTGCTTAGGCCCTTGGTTTAAACTGAATTAACCTTGGTGGTTCAGCTATGGCTCTAGTTTTCATGCATTTTTGCATGCATCTTTTCACTTACTGCTTTGGAACTGTTTTAATTTTCAGGCAAGACTCACCATGGCTCGCAGGAGTGCAATACCTCCAAGAATGCCTCTAGATGCCAATAGAATGCTGCTAGACATTTGCAACCAACATAAACCTGTGACGTTCAAGCAAGCTCTTGGTGTCAGGTATGTCAGCTTGCCTGATTTGTAGCCATGCTTTTTGTACTTCCTTCGTTGCTTGTACAACTTCTGACCACAACTTCTAACTACAAGTTGGTCTTCATTCACTGCTACTTTCAACGTGTTCAACCTTTGCTTCTCATTTCTTTAAAGGGCTTTCAAGGAGTGCAGTGTAATAGTTTGACATTTGTAGGGGTGGACTAGCTGCGCCATAATGTACCAAGTATGTTTACTTGCACCTTCGTATGCCGAACCACAGCTGTTTTGCAAAACTTGTTATCTGCACCGTACTGCGCCGGAGCACCTGAACTTAGCCGCAAGCCCCGTGCCCGAAAATGCGGGCAAGACAACCTGTTTTTCGGTTTCATCGAAATAGTTTTGGTCTTAGTTTTTATAAAAGCTGTGATTGGCTTTGGAGGTTCGCTCAACAGGTGCTATGCACTTTAAAAAGAATAAATTATTTAAAAAAAATAAATGAATAAAACAGTGTGAAAAAAGCGTTTTTTCATGTATTTTTAAGCCTATTAGGCCTAATTGTCTTTTGTATGAAAAAAGTTTTTTGAAAGGAATGTTATTTCATGTTCAATGTTGCATAGTACTGAAGTAACCAATTGCCAAAATTATTTTGCAATTCTAGAGAAATTTAATGTGGGAGAAAACTTTCAATGTACAAGCATATTTTTGCAACCATTTGTTGTACTACCTAGCACAACTTGCGGCCATTGGGAGATGAAATATATAAAACAGAACAAAAATGACAGCACGAACTTGTGTCTATACATAGCTAAACAATGCTATTACACGCTTTAGCCTAGTGTTTGCCAATTGCTTTGAGCTGGTGTTTCTGGCTACTCTAAGCCTGATCCAAATTGTCTTTTTAGATGCTCTAAGGTCGCTACGGAAGGCATTTTTGCCTGATCCCTGAACTTCCACGAAACCCTTTTACCCACCCTTTCATTTAATGAAACAACAGTTTCTGGCAGTTTCAATTTCACTACGTTTTTCCATATTTCTTTTCGGCGTTTGCTTAAATAACATCATTGAGAAATACTGACTTGCGAGATGTGAGTTATTTGCACTGGCCTGCTGGTTGACAGCCCAGTGCAGTTCTTGTGATAGAGGCATTGTAGTATTCATAATTTTGAGGTGCCTGATAGATGTGCACTAGGCAGTAGTGGCGAACTTTCTTAAGCAAATCTGATATGAATGTTCATGAAGAACCGCTTTTTGATATCGAAATAAATGTTGAAATAAGTAAAATGTGAAGGTTACGTCGAGTGCATTTGTTGAAGATGCTTCTCTGGTGATGCCCCATGAGACCTATATAAATAGGCACCCTGACGGCTTAAAAGCACATGACTGGAATGGCTGAAAGGTGATTCTGTGACACGATGACAACGATAGCATTGGAACAGCAGGTCACGGGTGAACAAGTAGTGGTGTCTTTGTCACTGGAGTTTAGTATGAGATGCTGCGGTGCTCTACGTTCTTTTAAATGTAGAAGAAAGCAAGGAACGCAAACACGAACAAAAGAGGAGAAAAGCATACAGCGCAGATTCAATTCTTTTGTCTGTACCTCTTCTCTTGTGTCTGTTGCTGCAAACATCTTCTGGGATGCAAACTTCTTCTGGGATGAATCTCTGTAGACTAGCTCGACTGTTCCTTTAACGCAGGGATTTAAAACATGCGGTCCCCGTGGTTCTCACATGGCTATGTTCGTCCCATATTTTTTTTTTTTTTTCATAAGTAAGTTCATAGGCTACACAGGCATGTCTGGTCTCAAGCATTTTTCTTGTGTGGCATCCTGGTGGTCATCTAGTGTTGAAGCTTAACCGTGAAACAAAAACAGTATTTCAGAAATGGCACCCAGATTTTACGTTGGAGATCGGTACTGACATGTTGTTGGATGGAATCTTGGCTCCAAATCGTCTTCGGAAATGACTAAGATATAAGAATGGAAAAGGTTTTTTTTTAGCCGTAGTGTTTGCCGACAATGTGTAGAGACTAATCCCCTGCCCCCCTCCCCACTCTGACATTCTTTTCTGACCCTGCCCTTCAAGGGCGGAGCTAGAAATTTGTTTCGGGGATTTCAACCATAATTTCTGTATGTCCATGTGCCGATTTGTATGTGACCGTGTATGTATACGCTATCAAAATTGAAAGATTGGGGGGGGGGGGGCTGGATAGGCCATGCTACTGCGGCCTGCTACTTGAAGTGAGTTTGAGACCTTTGCTTTAACAGGATGGCAAACACTAGACAAATTTTTGCCTTGTGGTTGTAAAGTACACGCAAAATATTGCCTTGCATCTGCCATCACTATGAGTTTGTATACATTAGGCTGCCTGTAAGTGAGGCATCTTTATTAGATGTTGCAAAGTATTCAACAATGGGTGTGTGCTTTGTTTGTTCACAAAACAGGAAACACTCAATTTTGAGCCCAATGCCTTGTACTATATCCCAAATCATGGTGTTCTGTGTATGACGTGCAAGGCATGGCAGTCGAAAGTGCAGCAGTACTTCATTTCACATGCTTGTGCAGCCACTGAAATGGCACAATATTTAAATATGTTGTCTCTTCATTCAGAGCCTTCAAGGAGTGTGTGAAAATCGGTGAGGGCTTATATGGAGAAGTCTTCCGAATCGGACGTGGATCAGAAGCGTCTGCCATCAAGATTGTGCCAATAGAGGGGTCTTTCCTTGTGAACGGAGAGAAACAGAAAACTGCTGCCCAGATTCTTCCGGAGGCCATCATCTGCCAGTACGTTCCTACATACTCTGGCATGCTGTGACTGCATGGGAGAAATCAGCCTATGCAATGCTTCAAGGGTAGCCAGGATTTCACTTCTGAAAGGGGTGGTGGAGTGCACAAAGTCGCTTCTGCAGTACATCTTACAGAGAATCACTGTTGTTGCAGCCGGTGGGAGAGGGGTATCAAAACTATTGATCTGACTGCTTAAGCTGTACCACTTAAAGCAGCTATGTGCACGCAACTCCAAAAGGGGTTGTGAAACGTTTTCAGAAAATTTTCACCTGGATGTGTATTCAAAATCACAACCGTCCACTCAATACTATATTTTGACTCGTTTCGTCGTCACCTTCATTTAATAGCTATAGAAGCACAATTATGATTCCCCAGACAGCATTCTTTTGATTCTACAGCTCACATTATTTTATGTCAGCCATTCAAAAGTCTCTGTCATTGAAAAAAAAACAAAAAAAAAACGTGGCAATGCAGTGAGGTCTGCTGCGTCATAGTTGACCGAAGTTCAGAGCATCGTGCTATTTCGAGTGCGGAGCCGTGGAGACGTCATAAACTCAAACTGTACCAACCATCCGATGGTAATGCACACGAAGATGATTTGACTGCTATACAAAATAACAAAACAGGCCTTCACTGCGTACGCCTACATGTATCGCCCTGAACCGTGAAAACCCAGATGAGTGGGCTATCTGTCAGAGACCGCTGGAAGCTGGCAGGGCAAATGCTGTTCAGACACCTCTTATGTTGGTCTTCGATGGTTAGAATATAGTCTGGTTTTAGACTTCGAGCTTTACACTGAGCTAAAAATTTTTTAAATTTTATTACCTCCTAGCTTTCAGAATAGTTCATTAATTTCTAATAAGTGAAGGTAAACCATGCATTTACGATTCCGATTGTCTTATGATGACGTCACCTCGCTAGTGCTTATGGCAGCCGGCGGTGATGCATTGTCGTTTTAGGATCACAAAAAGCCTAGGATTTCAAATGAGCTCTGTTAAATACAAGCTGAATATTTCTCCTAAATATTTAGAAATTAACATGCCCGATTCCCATTGAAATACATAGGAAAAGTTACAACCTGGCAATTACATTTCCTTTCACAGCCCCTTTAAGGTACATCTTGGCACCAAGAGTGTCACTGTCACCCACTTGCTGCGCACTTCATTTAGCCTTGCAGATAAAGCTCAGGTTCAAGCGCTTCGTCATTATTTATACAGGCTATGCTGTGTGGCTGTGCTGTTTTTACATGCTCAGCCTGGCTTGTCTATCCCATCAAGCCTACCTTGCACCAACCTCGACCTGGAACCTTCATTGTTACTGTTCACTCATGCTTTCAGCATTGCTTCAAGAAGGTTTAACTCTGTGCACTTTGCCACAAAATATTTAAAGACGCAGGTTTTATGGTCATTGTGAATCCCTACCCTGCTGAAGGGACACCAAAGAGAAAAACGACTTTCCTCATGTTGGTAAATTACACTTCTGCAATTCCAGATCACCACGCTTGCCTCGAGATGCTTGGTAAGCAAGAAGAAGCGCAAAGAGAAAATGCAGGTCACAGCGCCACCTTGATGTCATAGATTTTGATCGGCATCTACTAGGTCCCGTGTTATACCTAATCAGTGAAATTGAAGTGCATTGATCTCTGAGGGGCCATGGATTTAGCGTATCGAATTTCAGGAAATTTCGTTGAGCCAGTGTCGCCGAAATACGAGAAATACACTTTGAAGTTTGTGACGTCACGCATGGAGATTTTGGTGCGAAGTTTAAAAAATGAAACAATGACTGATTTTCTCCTTTAATAATAAACCAACAACATTGAAAATAGTGACATTAGAGATCTCAGAGCACAATTCATCAATCTAAACCATTTTTTTTTTGTTTTACTTTAGTGTCCCTCTAATTAAAGTGATGCACGGTGCTTACGAGATATTGTCCGGACTTTCCTTTCAGCAAGTTGTAAACTTTTGTGGTTCACTGTACACCTCCTAATGTGTCTGAGAACAGAATTGCTACAACTTTTGGCATTTTTCTCGAATGTATTTTAAAACAAAGCACCGTCGTGACTCCCTTCCCTCCTTTTTCTTGCAGAGAGTTGAGTGCCCTTTCCAAAACGGAACAAGCCACTAGCTGTCCGAATTTCATTGAAGTAAAAAGGTAAATTCAGGTCATGTGGATACACAACTGTGCCTTTATTTGTGCTTGTACTACATACTACAGTGAAACCTCATTAATCTGAACTGGGTTATTTCGAAATCCCGCGTAATTTGAAATATTTATGCAGTCCCGTATTTTGCAATGCAAATCTCAGCGGATAACTTGAAGCAGCGGTCAGCCACTGGTCCGGTTAATTTGAAAACTTTGGGTGCCATGTGCTGATTCCCGAACCTGATGTCGCCCCAAGTCCGCGGAAATGACAACTCCTAAGAGCCACAGGGCAATGCAACATAGTGATACTGATGAGTGGCAGCTGAAGCACCCCAGCCTCACTACTTTCAGTGCAAAAAAAAAAAAAAGGTCTTGTGGTCATTTGATATGTGCGCCTGGGAAAAACAAGACGTGCTTAACTTCAGCACAGTGGTAATGCGTGCAGAGCATATTGCATGCTTCTCGCAACAACAGCGCGTCATGATTTACCCTTTATTTCTAGGAATGTTTATAAAGAAATTACTAAAGGACAGTTTGGCAGAAGTTCGAAAGCTTGAATGATCATGTTTTCAATCCTAAACACATCATGAATTTCGTCATACTGGCCAGGATTAAATTGTTGATTTTAACGGAAAGAATGAGTAGATGGTCGCATCATGACGTGCTGACACAGAGAGGAGCAGGCGACATACTGCCCGCGTGTCACTACTGTGTCACAGTGAAGACGTCTTGTTTTCCGCAGGTGTGCACTTTAATTCTGGCAGCGTTTTTATTTTAGTATTATTATTTTTTTCAATTTCTAGCAAGGCCTGTAATTCCTCCGTGTTTGCAGCAAAATTTGGACCAGGTATTGCGCAAAATACAACCCTTATAGCAGCAAACTAGCCGGCACAGCAAACGGTCAGCCCTGATTACTTGGATAATTCCAAGTTCCTTGCATCCCAATTTCTAAATGTTTTAATAATTAGAAAACCCACTTAGTTTGAAAACTTCTCACAGCCCCACTGTCTTTTAATTAACAAGGTTTTACTTCAGTTGATATCTATACTGGCATCCATTTTCTGTTTTCATTTTAAGTCTGTATTGATAAAAGTGCAACCAATATAAACATACAAAACTATGCATATATTGCTAAATAAATGAATACATAGATATTATGAACATCCCTGTTACAATAAAACATTGACCTGTGAGCCTTAACTTTTAATTGGACTTAATGCCTTGCTTATCTGAAGTGAATATTTTTTCCTAAAAAAAAGGCTTTATAATTAAAACTTGCATTTCAGGGTAGAGCAACATTGGTTTTCATGCTTTTTTGATCTTTCTGCCTGCTTTTCTGCCATCAGTCCTCTGTCTGACACTGATAAAGTGCAACTAATCTAGAGTATAAAAAAACTGCACAGGAAGCAAGCTGATGAATATAGTACTCATCATCAGTTCATGTCGTCAAGTATTTTTTCCCGTAAAATCTGGTATATGATAATTTACTGCCGCAGCTACGTTCTTCAGTGGCAGCAAAAAAGATTAGGTGAACCTCAATGAAACACCTAAAATATAAGTGCTTCCAAGGTTTTGTGGCATCACATTCCTTGATTTGTTTTTCTCTCTCTCTCACTTTTTCATTTCCAAATTTGAGAATGAGCTTTCATTCTATCAAAAGGAGCAGTTCACACAAGTCTGATGTGCCCACGGTACGCTGCTATACTTTTGATTATAATAACCAATAGGGACATAGAACTGTTTGATGGAGGCACTAATATATCCCCTGGTATGACTGTTGTCATGCAAAATCGATGCCACCTAATGCTTCCTGACGAAGCAGTTTGTGCAGGGGAAGTTTCAACTTAGCAAATGGTCCCACTTACAGGTTGCACTACGTTCAAGGCAAGTATCCCCCAGCCCTCCTGAAGCAGTGGGACGTGTTCGATTCCGAAAGGACAAGCGAGAATGATAGGCCAGGTAAAGCGTCTAACGTCCAAGCTTTTAAATCTTTTCTTATGCAAGAACTTCACTATATTGTTCCTGTACTTCTTGTCTAGTAGTGTGCCTAAAGGAATGCTAAATGATTTCCAGAGCAAAAAAAAACTTTCTTTCACTGGTTACATATAATTGTGTTGTTGCGCAGGCATTGGATGATATGTTATGTGGGCTCGTGTTGGAGCAGTAAGGGTAGGGGAACATGTGAATCACAGCACATTTCCGAGAATGTCAAGGACTTTGTAGAAAAATCATTTGCATAGTACAACTGGTCATCAAATGGTGTCCATGTAGCTCGATGCAACCCAAAGAAACATTTCTGCATATTTTGACTGGGAAGTACAAACAATCACATTTTTTGAGAGGCCTATATGTGCAAGTGTCAAGTATTGTGTTTATATGCACAAAACCCACCTACTACCACTTCTAGTTGTGTAGAAAGACCAATGAATTTTCATCATTGAGTATGTGAAAGCAGCTATATTGGTTGTGAATATGCTGGAGTGTGATGCCTCCGACGTTCATCCACTTCATTCAAGGAATAAATAAGGTCAGTTTAAGTTGTTCAATATAAGCAAGATCATTGCATGCATGACTTGTCTACAAGATGTAATCAATGTGTCCCTCAGAGTTATGCCACTGAGTGAGCGTAAAAACACAAAGATATGTACTATTTTTTGTTTATTCTCCTTACAGACTGCTTCAAGGCAGGCCAAAAGTATTTCATGTTTCAGTTTTCTGATGGCGGAATATCCTTGGAAGATTATGAGGTCAGTCATTTTAGTTATACAAGGCTGCCGTACTCTTAAACAGCAAATAAAATGAATAATAGTTATAGTTCTAGACATTTTTGACTGCAGAAATAATACTTTAAACTGTTAGGTTTTACTTTGCACAAATCAATAATTGTGCATTAAGAGTCTTTTTTCTTCTTTTACTCTTTTTTTTTTGTAGCATCACTTTTTGGTGCTCTCTAGTGGCTCCATATATCTGTACTGTTACCTTTCTAGATAAACTCTGCAACCGAAGCCAAAAGTATCTTCCTCCAAGTTGCCTGTGCTTTGGCTGTCGCCGAGACTGCTCTAGAGTTTGAGCACCGCGACCTCCACTGGGGAAACATTTTGGTCGCACCAGCAGAGAAACGTTACATTCACTGCCGCCTGCCTCAAGGCCGCTTCATTCTGGACACGAACGGTGTTTTTGTCTCGGTGATAGACTACACATTGTCCAGACTACGCAAAGGTAAGTGTGAAACATTTGCAAGCATCGTTTGCCTCAGTGGATAAGTGGTTGCAGTTTTCTGCTGCCAAGCAAATAGCTGCAGGGGCAAATTATCACTGCAGCAACCACATTGCAATAACCAAGTGTCGCATAGGTATATTAGGCCCCACTAGCCAATTGGCTTTCGTCGTGAGACAAGTCGCCCGTAATGAAAAAAAATTATTTTTATGACCCAAAATTGCAAGACCCAAAAGGAGTGTTAATCGGTGAAAAAAAAAAGTCAAGAAAAAATAGCTAGGGCACAGCAGTCTTATGAAGTGGCTTTACAAATTATTTAATAGCCTTAATGGCACACTTCCAGACCTTATAAGTAATCTTGTGCGAATATTCTAAAGAGTATTACAGGATGCAAATTTACTTCCATTCGAATTTAAATAACTGGAAGTTTCAAATTATTTGAAATGAACAAATAGGTTATATTAGTCTGCACGCTGAAGCTGAAGTAAAGGGTGAGATGCCGTAGACATGCCTATTCAGGAGCAATCTGCATTGCTGCAAAGCCCCATTTTAAGGTTAAAATATTGAACATATTACCCCTACATCGATTCATATATATATTTTTTAGTTTAAAAGCTTTTACTGGCTTATATGCTGTAAGTCCAACGTGCCTTCAAGTGCTCGCTACGCGTTTTGATTGCAAAATTGACATAACACGGTGGCAAGTTAGCGCACGTAGAAACTGAGCTGCATAGTTAGCCGCAATAAAGAACAAGTGCTCTCATATGTTCTAAACTCCATTAAAACAATAGTCTGGTGACATCGTATTCCCGAAAGAAAAAAAATAAGCAGAGCTTGCAAACCTTTTTTACTGATCACCTTCCGCTCGTTGAGAACTACTTTTACAAGCATGCTCAGCGTGGTTCCCATTGACGAGTACTGAGCGGCTTGTCGCAGGAATTTCTTGCTCCGTTACATCCAAGCTGCAATGCAAAACTATAAATTGAGGAAACACACTGGATGCAGTCGCATTAGTTTGAGCACTTGCTGAACCCTAAAGCACCCTTCCCAGAACCAGTCTTCTGAGACCCCTGTCAACGGCAGACCCAAGGAGTTCTGATTGCAGGGAAAGATTCGGCCGTTCAACCCTCCCGTATTGCTCGTTAGCTCACTGGCAATGTTCGGTATTACAGAATGCCTCTTTTGATAAAAAAGTGGAGTGGGAGGAAGCTCTTAAATGTGGCTATTTTCATGAAAAACTAAGCGTTGTCCAAAGGGCCCGCGAACAGGCGGAAGATCACAGTCTTCTGGCCCCAACGTGGGCGCGGCCGGCAACTATGACTCTGTAGTTCCTTAGGACCCGACTAAAATTTATTGACTGACTTACCTCTCCTCCCCCATAAAAGCAATTCAAATGGCATTCCTCCCACATAACCAGTCAGTTGTCCTCTATGAGTTACTCCGCTACCGTGTGAGAAGCATGGGGACTTCATTTGATCGCTGATCTCGCTTTCTTTGTACGAGTTCATGTTGTACCAGTATTAAATTTAGGAGACCTTTTCTGAATATTTGGAAAACCAGAAGTGCTCAACCAAACATTGTTAAAAGTGAAAGGAGAATTTTACCTGGTGCTCAGGCCTCCGAAATTTATTGAGTACAATAGAGCAACACCTTCAGCGAGTTGTGGTGAATATTGCAAGCACTATCTATGCATGCAATTTGAAACAGCATGTTCTAATCAGCAACAAGTTTTCTCTGTCGTCTTTCTTTGATTGTATGACGGCTAATTTTCTGGTCAGGATTTTTTTTTCTTTTTAAACTCACCTTACGACACCTGTCATTCGTACACACCGTAAGTGCCATGCTTACCTTGTAACCAGCGCTTCAATTCAACGCACATTTTGTGCTGTGCAGTGAAGCCAAAATATGACACTTTTTCGTGATTAATGGCTGCTCTCTGGTCGTTAGCCTTGTCTCCTTATTTACATTGCAGCAGGATTTTCAGTATTGCACACTAATAGGAATAATCACTGAAAATTTTGACATGTTGTGCTCCAAGTGATCCTGAATTAAGTTTTTCCTGCTCCAAACCTGCTCGAAATCATAAACTGGCTGGAGAAACACTGGAGAAGCCAGTGAAAGACACAAGGATTGCTAACAAAAAGCATGTTTATTAAAGATGCAAATAAATTGGGGGACCCTTAAGCTTTGCCATTAGGAGTTGAACGCCTGTCCCTAGTGCGTACTTTGACCACTTAGTGTATACTTTTTATATGATCTTACTCAAGATGTTTAAATTGTGGATTACTACAATGTAATCGGTATAGGAGAGGGTGGCTAGTTCCAGTGAAGCTTTTGCACATGGTTGCTGCATTCTGTGTAATGGTTAGCATGCTTTAAACCATGTGTGGCCGGCTCAAACGCTTGTAGCACACGATATTACTGCAATTTTACATGTAGTGTGAAGCCTGTATACAGGACACATGTGTTTGTAAAGCATGAAGCTTACTGCATTTCCAAGAAGAGGAAGTAATTTTGACTATTAAATTTTTTACATGAAGTTATTTTAACTATTTTCAAGCAGGCATGCGGCTGTGTGATAAAACACCGGCTTGCTTCGCAAATGGCCTGTGTTCGATCCTCGCTCGGACCCAAAAATTTTTACTAATTTTATTTGCACCTTTCTTGATTTTTGGTCACACACAAAATGTATTTCTGCTCACACCCGATGATGCCCGGGCCAACACTGACGCCTGAATTTCTGCAAAACGAGCACGTAAACGCTATCACGTTAACATAGGGTTATGTCACATACAAAACCCAGAATTCCCTAGAAAGCTACCAAAGCTTGTAACATTGGTTAAAAACATTTTGTCATTCATAACGACCACATTTGGCCCTCCCAGTGCTCACTAATGACAAAACTAAGTGATGTTTCCCATGCGCATGAGGGTATTGCATTTGACCATGTACTACACATGACGCGTTTTACAATGTGAAGACGTTTAGTGAAAGGGCGAGTTTTTGTTGATTTTTTTTTTGGCTCCAAGAAAGTTAGAATGTACAGATAGGTGCACTATCAAAGGGGCACTGTCACAAAAATTAGCGGTCGAGATAACCTGTGGGGTCGGTTCCCAGGAACATTCGTGTATCGTCTGTAAAATATCAACAGCGAATGTAGCTGGGAAGGTATTTTAAAAGAATTATTAGGTTTGTGAGCCCTCGACTCAATTGTGCCATTGACACCCTCGAAGAGGACCCTTTGGGGAACCACTACTTCCCTCCTGTCACCATGCTACAGTCAACAAAACAAGTTCTGATGAGGTCATAGCCGCCATTTTTCTTTTGCCGCGTTTCTTCCCGCAGCTTATATTTCTCGGCGGCTGGTTGCAAGTGCGTGGCCATGGCGCACGCTTAGAAAGTTTTGTTTGGTGACATTGCAGTCCCGTTTCTTATTAGAAAATAATTCTTGATGCGGACCGTGCGGAAGTGTGTCACAGTTCTGCGTGCTGACGTTGTCAAGAGCTGCACACGCTACGTGGCAACAGTTGCACCCAGCGCACGCTAAGTGGCGACAGTTGCACTACCACTATCACCGCCACAACAAGGGATGACAGCCCCGCCACCCTGGATACACCCTTCAGTGGTACTCCCATAGGGCACCCAACTTGTCCCACCCACCATGTACCACTCGGGGAGCTGGTCGAGCACCACCTGATGCTTGCCACGCAGATGCCCCATTGAGGCGCAAACACCACCCTCACTGCCGCCCGCGGATACCTGGAACCAACAGGGGGTTCCCCAACCTCCATGGGGCAAGGAAGCCCCGAAAATGGGAAGAGCTGTACAGGACTATAATAGCCGAGGACATTAGCCTGTTTCCAGTTGCAGAAACCCATCTCCAGGACCTGGAAGAGCCGCCTACACCCCTCGACTGGCAATGGGCTGGCAATAACCGATCTGTCGGAGATCGAAAAGGGGAAGTGTGGGTGTGCTATGGTGAAGCAGTTCGACATGGACACGGCTACCAGGGAACTGCCAAGAACACAAGTGGATCGCCGGTGAAATCCTGAACATCCCTGTTCTTGTCGGGGTTGTCTACTTAGGTGTGACTCAAACACTGGATGACGCCAATTGTCAAATATTAGAGTGCATCAGAGACGATGTGGCACGCTGGGGAACGGGGAGAGAGGTGCTTCTGTTGGGGGACTTCAATGGTCACATATAGCCTCTCAATGGACACCAGGGTGCAAAGGGGTCACTCATGCTACAATTGAACGAAGGTTTATCCTCAAGGTGGCCAACTTGCGCAGTGACTGTGATGTTTTTACATGGTGCACGAGGAACAGCAAGTCTACCATCAACTATGTCCTGATGTCATGTAAACTATCCACGCATACATCTCAGATACACGTCGACGAGGCTGGCGACCACAGGCTTAGGAGCGACCATAATCGCCTAAAGATATCGTTCTCAATGTCCGCATTCCGACAATGTGGCCATACAGCGCCAGTCGAGAACACCCGAAAATACCTACCGGCGACTGCGTACAAGGCTGTTGTGCAACAATTTGAAAAAAGCAGTCCATTCGCCTCTGGTCACGTATGACGAATATATCTCGAACCTCTGTCGCATCAAGCAAAAGCATGAAGTCCTCCCTAAAGTGGGAAAGGGCGACGGCACAAGACCTGGTGGGACAATGAAGTGAAGAGGGCTCTTGAAGCACGACGGGCTGCAAACAGAACTCACCGGCAAGCTGTCAAATTCCTCGGTCCCACAGAAACTTAACAGAGCTGGGTCTATTACATCAACTCTGGGTCTGGGTCTATTACATCAAAAATCGGTGGTGCTGCATTTTTCTGGGCCAGCGAACGTGCGCGAGCTGGTGCTACCGAACGGCAAGCTGATCCCTTGTAGCACCGAGTACCGATACCTCGGAGTGACACTTTGCAATGGAGAGTGCTACGCCGTCCACGAGGCCAACGTGAGGCAGTCGTCACAAAGAGCGATCGGCACCCTACCGAAGTGCTGCCTATAGGGTTTCAATCGGTATGCGATTGTACGCGAGCTATGGAAGGAGGTACATGTGCCTTGCCTGACGTTTGCGAACGCTGTCCTGTTTACCGACGAGCACCCGCGAATGGCTAAAGCATGGACAGAAAGAGGTGGGCCGGATGGCCCTCGGCTGTCATGGAAGAGTGGTCACGGAGGCAGTCCAGGGAGATATCGGCTGGTCATTGTTCGAAGTCAGGGAGGCGTGCAGCAAAATAGCGTTTGAGGCGCCCCTCCGGCGTCTGAGCGACTCGCGGTGGGCGAGGCGCATCTTTCGGTACCTTGCACTCAAAGGTATTTAGACCCAGTGGTCGAATAGAGTTCACCGGCTGCACGGAAAATTCGGCTTCTGCGGTGAAACAAACAGTGGCTCGCCCAAGTGCCTCACACCACGTTCGGTGCGCACTCAAGTTCGAGAGGTGGAAAGCGGCCAGTTACGATCAGGAGTGCGCTTAAGTCCACCCTGTGGATGTATGGTCAACACAAGGCTGAACCATAGCATGCTGAACCAGGGAAACCATGCAGGAACCAGGCAGGGAAAAGCTCTACGACAACAGTGAGGGAGTTTGAAGCGCGTGCAGGAGCGTTGCGTGGGCTCACCTACCGCCGTCGCTTCGATCACGACCCGCAGGTCCAAACTGCCATCTGTCGCTGCTGCGCTGAAATGAGCGAGACGGCTGAACACCTGATTCTGGATTGTGCCCGTCTTTCTCGACAGCCAGCAGAGGGCACCACTCTTCCACAAGCGCTCGGATTTGCAGCAGAAGATCACGCCACTGCCGTGTCGACAACAAAAGCTCGTCTACAAATGTGGTAGAGGGCTGCGGTGCAATAAGGAATGACAGGACAGACACGGCACTTCTAGAGTGCAAAAAGACTTATGTGACAAGTGTGCACCCCGCAGTCTGTTCTGAGACTTCCTACGTCTCGTTTTTTTTCTTTTTTCCTCTCTTTTTTTTTGCCGGCTAAATCACACTATCTGTGACCACCCGATTCAAAGGGAACTGCCACCTATCATCATCATCATTTGGAGCTCTCTCTCAAACCGAAACTGATCGATAATGAAGGGCCTCTAATTAATTATCTGTCGTGGGCTACAGCAAACATAGTGTCGTGTTATGACCAAAAACTGCTTCAATACCTACCAACGTTTGAATGCTTAGCGGATGATTGTAACATTCATGAACTGTGGAATACGTTTAAAGTGAAATTGGGTGAGCTTGTGAACGAACATATACCGCACGTTCATTTTTCAAAGCTTAAAAAACGAAAAAAACCTTGGGTAACATCATCCATTATCAAATTATACAAGAAAATTGATTTTTGTGAAGTTTAAGAAAACAAAGAGCAAGGCTCATTATGAGAGATTGGCACAAATAACGCTTGATTACAAGTTCACTACTAAGATCACAAGTGAAAATTATTTCAAGGGACTTATTGAAAAGTTGAAAACCAGTCCTGAGGTTTTTTGGAAGTATTTAAATGGGTGCAGATCAAGTGATCTGGGCATTCCAGAAATCATTTGCAATAACCAAATCATCACGAATGACAAAAAACAGGCAACATATCTAAATGACTTTTTTGATTCAGTATTTCTTCCAGCGAAACCAGACACTATAACAACAGCTGCTAGCAATGTGCCGCCTATGACGCAGGTGGAACTCAGCGTGTCCGGTATCAAAAAGTTATTGGAGCAATTGGACGAAACCAAGGCAGTTGGCCCTGATGGTGTTTCACCTCGCGTGTTAAAGCACTGCGCTGCGACCGCCTCCCTTTACCTTTTCGTTATCTTTACGCAGCCGCTTCGTGCTTGTGAATTGCCTTATGACTGGAAGATAGCCCACGTTATGCCAATTCATAAAGGGGGTTCGAAAAAAGATGTCCAGAATTATAGGCCTGCCTCCCTGACATGTATTGTATGCAAATCAATGGAACATATTGTTATAAGACAATGTCCCACAAAAGCAGTTAGATAGGCGCGGAGAAATCACCAGAGCTCGAAAAGCATGAGAAGTTGCCCGTCAGCGCCTCTTAGCATCACAAGATCAGCACCGGCAGCGCTACAACTCCCATCATTGCCAAGTTTCCTTTACTCCAGGTTCTCTTGTGGACTCTGACTGTTGGACTTTCCGAAAAACTGCTTTCCCTCTGCTCGGGACCCTACCGCGTATTGCGCCAGGTGACAGATGTGACCTACGAGATAGCCCCACTCGAGTCTTCCTCCTCCTCCCCTTCACTGTCTACAGACATTGTTCATGTATCTCGCCTTAAGCTTTACCACTCGGCAACATCATAGAAAGCACCGAGATGGTGCTTCAGCACCCGGTGGTCATGTTATGAGACAATGTCCCACTAAAGCGGTTAGATAGGCGCGGAGAAAGACGACGTGATCTTGGTGTAGGGCACAGCACTTGTTTTCCATCTTGACTTGCGCGTTGGCGCTGTGTAAATATATCTTCAAACGCCTAGTTTCGCGTATCCTTCACGTAACAATATGATTTACTCAGCCGTCATGAGTCACCTCACCGAGAACAATATCCTAATTAAAGTACAGCATGGTTTCTGCAAGGGCTTGTTTTGCACTACACAACTTGTAGAATTCTATTACGATTTAGGGAGTGAAATTGATGCTGAGGGCCAGATAGATTGTTTGTTTTTAGATTTTCGAAAAGCTTTCGCACGGTTACGCAGTCACTTCTTATTTACAAACTACAGCAAATAGGTATACATAGAGATGTTATCAAATGGATTCAAAATTTCTATCCGAGCGCAGCTAGTGTGTTGTTATTATTGGCAAAAAATCGAGTTACGTCAACGTCACCTCAGGAGTCCCTCAGGGCTCTGTATTGGGACCTATATTATTTTTTATATACATAAATGATATAAAATTTGGGTATTGTGTTCTCCTTGCGACTGTTCGCAGATGACTGCGTGATGTACTGAGGTTATCTTGCGATTAAGATGCGGCAGCATTACAGGGAGACTTGGAACAGAATATATGATTGGTGTAAACAGTGGAACATGTGTTTAAAGGCAAAAACGTGCATCCATGTGTGTTTTACTAGAAAGAAAAAAACCACTGATAAATAACTATTCTATAAATAAGGAGTTCCTTACCACAGTTAATGTCTCTAATTACCTAGGCGTCGTGTTTTCTACTGACTGCTCATGGAAAGCACACATAGTGAAACAGTTGGGGTAAGGCTTGACGGGCGCTGAACTTTGTTCAACGAAACCCAAGATGTCGCGACATTGAATTAAAACGGAATGTGTTTACTACATGTGTTAGACCAATATTGCAGTACGCCTGCCAACTATGGGATCCATCGGAAGCCACTCATTTCTCAAATAGAAGGTATTCAAAACAGGCAGAGCAGCCAGGTACGTACTGAGCAGGTACCATAGAACGGACAGTGTCACAATGATGAAAAAAAGAATTGAATTGGGAATTGTTGTCTTCACGATGACGGAAGTTAAGGCTAAAACTGTTCTTTCAAATATATAGCAACAAGGTAGGCATAAACAGAGATAATTATTTAAATACACTTTTTTACGTTTCTATGCGTAATGATCACAAAGTCTGTGTAAACTGGCCCAGGACGTGCATGTTTGCGAATTCTTTTTTTTCCAAAGTGTGTAGCCGAATGGAACAAGCTCTCTGAAGAACAAGTATGTTGTGTAAATGAAGATGTATTTGTATCTCTGTTGTAAAACCCCCTGCTGCAATGCGGGGTAACTGTTGAATGAAGAAATAAAGAATTTAGACTAACAGGCCCCCAGCATCACATTGCAGCAGAAAAACGCTAGGTGAAAGCTTTTGTCAGCACCCTTTAAAGGGAACACTTGTTGCAAGAGCATAGTTGCTCAGATTTCTGCAAGGCTGCTGGCGGTTGACAGCTTTAACCCTTTTGTAACAGACTAGGGCTGTTAATTAACTCGTTATTTTCTACGTTCACTTGAAGTTTCTACATCCGCTTGAAGTTAGGGGCTATCAATATAAAGAGATGCTCATTCAAGTGTTCTCATTAACAGTGGATTGTACTATACATGCAAAAACAAAAAAAAAACATGAAAAGGTACACTAATTAGCCGGATGCACTAAGCTGAAGAAAGACACATTGAGTATCTCACTGCAACACAAAATGGAAATTTTAATCAAGCATTTGTGATAGTTTTACAAAACGGGCATCTGTCCCGAACTCGATGCTCCTGGACAACTGCAATGCGCTGCTCGCGATCTTGTAATATACAGGTTTGTGTACTAATCTTCTGGTAATGGTAGCTGTAGTGGAAAAATAGCAAGAAAGTGTTTAATATTAAGTCACTCATTCGCTATCACTACAGCCTTAAAGAGTTAGAAAAACCAAACAGTATTGTTCTACAAAATAATGAGCAAGCACTGCAAACACCCAAATGAAGTCAATTTCGCCTGAGGAACAGAGCACTGATATAGTAGCAGCAATGTAGCACTACAAGACATGTACACAAAGCAAGGTTCATAGCTTTATCAGCCCTATGAATATGTATTCGGTGTACACGGTTTTACTCATGCACCAGCAAACAAATGCAATCTCGCTCAATAATCTTAAACACTGACACAATGGAGCCAGTTCTTTAAGTTGCCCTTCATTGCATCAAGGCTATGTAAGCATAACATTGGGCGTTCTGCTTCAAACCAAGGTGACGAGACCCATGCCTGTCTTTTTTCCCCCCTTGTCTGTTCTTTCTATAAAGAGACACTAAAGAAAAATAAATGCTAAAGAGGTCATGTGGATTATCAAATAGCATACCAGAACCGTCGTAGTGCTTGTTTCGTGCGAAGGAAAATCGGGCTTACAGAGATCTACATGCCATTAGTGCAACTCAAGCCGCCAGCTTCCTAGAACAACTTTCTGACATAGCCTTTGCCATGCCCACATTGCCTGACAACAAGCGCTGCGGAGCACTGCCCTGGGAAAATGGAGTGTGCATCTTTCTTAAGGGTACCATTAAGTTCCTTTTTTTTTTTTTGCATAAATCGGACTGAAATGCAAACATTTTCATTTTATTCAGTCTCGCTATGATATGTAATTGTGAGCACATGTGATTAATTGTGCTGAGGCCCCACTGCATCGTTGGGCTTGGGTTCCGAAATGTCTCGCAGGTGCCACAAATACTGTTCAACATTTACCATGATTGCTCTATTACTGAGGTGCTTCTGTACATAGTACTGACATTCTAGACATTCTCAAGCGCTTACATGGATGCAAAGTGTTGTTTGCCATTGTGCCCCTTTAATGAAATTAATGCTTTGCAGCGATATGGTGTCATCATGGTACTTTTCTTTTCACTGATCCCAGGAGGAGCAGTCATCTTTACCGATGTGTCCCACGAAGATGAGCTTTTCAGCGGTGTTGGCGACTACCAGTTTGACATCTACAGGCGCATGAAGGAGCACAATCAGTGAGTCCATCGCTCTGCACGGCTAACGAGCACGCTAGTTACTATTATTGACTGTGTCACGCACATTATAAATGTTCATAAATTACGATAAAGCAATGCAAGCCCAGCCCTCAGTGGTACGACAAAACTCGGTAGTACTGTATCTAGTTGATTTGATAGATATGTGGGGCTTAACGTCCCAAAACCACCGTATGATTATGAGAGGAGCCGTAGTGGAGGACTAAAAAAATTTTGACCACCTGGGGTTGTTTTATGTGTGCCCAAATCTGAGCACACGGGCCTACAGCATTTTCGCCTTCATCGGAAATGCAGCCGCTACAGCCTGGATTCGATCCCACGACCGGCAGGTCAGCAGCTGAGTACCTTAGCCACTAGACCACCGTAGCGGGGCTGCTCTATCTAGTTATTGTAAACCGCTGTGCATTCTGGTGCGGCACTCGAGCCAGTTAGAGATGCGTCTCCAGTTAAGAAACAATTTACTTCACATTGGGATACCTTCATAGCATCACAAAGTACTGATTTACGCTTACTGCCTAATGCTACTAGAGTAGCGACCTTATGGGCATAAAAAAGCATGCAGGAGAAAGTTTTTTTGTTTCAATACATTTCTGATGTTTACTTCACCTCACTGTGTATTTGTCACCACTTTAAGTGTATAGCTGATGTAAGCGCTAAAGGCACGTAAGTAAGACGAGTGAAGAACACGGGACAAGCACTGCTTACAACTGAAATTTTATTAGAAGGGAACGCCAATGTTTCCTTCCAAGAAAATGTTCCCTTCCAGTAAAATTTCAGTTGAAAGCAGCACTAGGCCTGTGTTCTTCGCTCGTCTTACGTACGTGCCTTTAGCGCTTACACAAGTTCTGGATCAGTACCAACTAGCTCGAACCCAATACCTTAAGTTTAGCAGCCTAATGTATCGACAACAGAGGGTAAAAGTGCAGTGTACTAACACGGGAGCTAAACGTGGAAAACTGTATGTTTGTATTACATGCATTACTTCGACTTTTTGACTCGCAGGAATGACTGGAAAAGCTTCAAGCCATACACGAATGCACTCTGGCTCCACTACCTGTCCTGCAAGCTCCTCGAAAAGGGCTGGTCCTCGACCAGGAGTCGGCAGCAGAGTTCGGCCGTTGCCGAACTCAGAGAGTGGAGCGATAAACTCATCCTTCAGTGTTCATCGTCAATAGACATTTTCCTGAGGTGCATTGGCACACAGTCTACTCGGAATACGACAGGGGCTTACTACAGATGAGTGTTGCATTGAGTGATGCAATGTAAATATATTTTTCTTTTTTTTAAGGTCACAATGTTCTTTTAAGAATAGTTTTAAATTCTCAAATTTACTTTATCTCATTTTTCATGCATCACATGTAAAGTACTCATGCCACCCCATCTCCATCTGTATTCTTGTCCCAGTGTGTCTACATTTTATCGATTTTAGAAATAAACTTCACTGTAACATTGAAAATACCATTGCGGCTCTCCAGCGTTTACAACGTAGCTCACTTAAACAATGTTCAACATGATAATAGTGCAGTAGACATCTTGGCCATCCCACACGAAAATTTTATATTTTAAATGTGTTTTGTAAGAGCAGGCACCAGGCAATGGCAAATTGCTCCTGCAAACAAAACCTTTTTCTTAGACATTTTACTCCTCCAGAATGAAATTCACATGAACCGAAGTTGTTTTTTCCCTCTCCACTGTGCTTGGGTCTTGTAACACTGCTAGTTTCTCTCGGGCAGTAATATGGCATGAATCAATGCGGTGCACTAGCGTAGCGTCTAATCAGCTTCTACTTACATTTCTTTGTCTGATCAATTCGTCCGTCAGGGCCGCCTCAGACTTTTGAACCCCTGCTCTCTTTTGCTCGACAAGCTTCCCGAGGGCATTCTTATCCTGCAAAAACAAACAAAAGAGGGGGGAGGGTTACATTTACTATGACTACCCATGGTCTCAAGAGCATATACAATACTAGTGAATAAGATTGTGTTAGCTGTAGCTTAGTTTAATTTGCAATAATCTCTGGCAACATTCTCGTTACACAGCTGCCACAACAAAATAGCTGAGCTGAAAGCTTGAGCTTTGTAATATTGCAGCTCGCTGGAAGAACTGATTTCGCGAAATCCCAGGCCGCCTGTTCGTTGAAATTTGGCCAAAGGTTGCCTGTAGGTGCGTCGTCTTGGTCCTGGTAAAACAAAAACCTACGAGTTGAACAAATGGTTAAGATATGAAAATAATTATTGTGCCCAAACCTGGCACACAATTTTTCATCTAAAATCAACGAAAAAATGACAAAGGTTCTTGGACTAACAAGTGGCAGGTCAGCGGCGGGCAGCTTCCTGTCCAGTTCTTTCTCCCGTAGCTCAAGGCGGTGGAGTTTCTGTGAAAAAATCGCAACAATGCGGTGAGTAGCACGGCATGCTTTCTCGCATATAACCCGCATCAAGAAAACAAAGAGATGTGCTCAAAAAGTGGGTGTATAGGTTATATGCATCTCTTTTTCTTTCTCTCTGTAACTTTAATGGTGGTGGTGCAAATTATGTGCACGGACACGATATGTGCGAGAAAACAGGGTATATAAAGAACAGTTAAATGTCGCACTAGCTCGTTTTGCATGGCTGACGAAAATTATTTCCGAAAGAATAAGATGCAGGCACTGCCTTTCTTTTGTGTGCCCATCTTTTAAACAGTAGTGCAGTCAAAATTCCAAGGGAAAGAAAAGGCAGGCAACAGGTGTTGCAATGGTGCCACTGCCAACTGCCACCTTATTTGAAGTCTTCCTTGGCTTTATGCCCATACATGCAGGTTTGTATAGTGGCATAAATTTTGCATTCAGCTCAGTCTGTCGCAAGTTTGTGTGTCAAAATGTGTTGTTTCAAGCATTCACTGCAATCTTGATGATACCCAGCAGAATATTACTGATGCCCCAGTTGAAGGTGTGCCGAGACAAATTCTAAATATTTTCGGATTGTCGCTCTAAATTAAAACACTGGTACTGAGAACCCTAAAGATAGTAATATGGTGCCTTGGAATGGGCCAAGTATGTTTGTAATACCGTTACCTTAAATAAAAACTAATGGTTTTGATATCAAGAGGCTGCCTTCTAACTGACATGTCATCGCAGTGCGACATCACAGGGAGACAATAACTCGCCGCTTAACTTGAGGCAGATCAGTCATCTGCTCATGATACATGTGAGCAACAGTGAGTGAATTGTCGTCCCATGACCCCACAGTGCTTTCTGCTATTTAGGTTGCACACAGGAGGCAGAAGTCTCAGTGAAACTGTGTTGTCTCGTTGAGATAATGTCTTGGGGCTGGCTTTTTAATCCTCATCGGCAAAAATTTTAGAATTTAATTTGAATACTTTATGCGCGTTGTCCAACTCCGGTAGGTGGATAGTGCTGACACTGCATGCCAATAAAACGAAAAACGTCTCTTTTACAACGTCTCATAGTCGTGTCAGTAATCCTTTGAAAGGACCCCGAAAAAGCTCCAACTTCTTACAAATTAAACTGAGCTAGTTCCTTCAGACCATTAGCAGGCCAATCTAAGCATTTCGCATAGTGTGGATATTTTAGTGTAAAGAACCTTTAAATATGGGCGTGTGAATTGTGATCTTCATGGCTGAATCAAACAGGAGTTGAACAGTGAGAGAAGTGAATTGAACTTTGAACACCCTTTTTTACAATCAATGGCAAGTGTGCGTCCAGCATCAGCATTAAAAGCACAAAGGGACATTAGTAAGCCGCTGTACTGCGTAATCTCTTGTGATTTGTGCCTACAATATACTCATAAAGCTTATCCCACCGTTGCACAGATTTTGTGTTAATTGTGATGCCCTTGATATTTCCAAATAGCCATAACTTATTCGAAAAAGATTCATGTTTATGAATCACAGTTATTCTATCTGGATACCAGATGAAATCAGGCTTAATAAGACTTGACTGGTATTTTTAAGCAAACAAAGTAATTATAACCACTTGACACACATTCACAGGGCTTAGTGGGTTGATAACATTGAAACGACAGTTTTATGGATGTTTCACAAGATTTAATGGGGTTGTGGGAAGAAATATTGGTAAAACAATGTGCCAGGTATTAGTTCAAGTGAGAGATGCCCACTAACCTGATAAAGATGCATGCTGCTGCCACGGAGCTGCACAGGACACTTAAAAAACTTCCGTAGGCAAAAATCTATCGCAACACATCCCTCTTTCCTCCAACAAATTTTTTTACTAGTATTTTGGGGGTACTCAGAACCTCTAAGTCTAACAGACTATTTGGTCCTGCTAACATTTATCAATGAAGGTTTAAAATGTAAATACAATTGAACCTCTCAATGATAGAATTTCTCAAAAACTGAATTCTCGCAGCACTGAAGAAATATGGCATTTCTGGCAAACATCCATAGAGCTCAATGCATTTTCCCCCTCTCGGCAGCAAAGAAATTTTAAAAATCACTCCTGCACTAATGAAAGTTTCAGGCATTTTTTTTTCTAAACCAATCAGCTAGCTGGGATCCCAGGAATTTGAAAATTGCACCACTGCTCATTCGACAAGTTTGGATCATACGTTTCTGCCAACAAGCATCGGGGAGATGATGGTGATAACAACAAGGCCCTTCCCCTCTCTTCACCTTGCTGAGAAATTTTAGCTAATGCCCATGCTGGCAACTGCGGCGACGCATGACATTTGAAGTGACAACATTCATGAAAGTGACGCCATGCCACATTCCAATGGACATTTCATTGGCTGCCTGTTCACTACTGCACATCTCTCCACGATTGCGCTGAAGCCTCCCGGCAAGTAAGTTTGCGTGAAGTTTTGGATGCTTTTGATATCATTCACAATTTTCTTGGCGCCCATGCCAACGACAACAAAGCTGTACAAAGCTTGTTAAGCTGCGGGGCAGAGCAACAGAGCAAGATCAGCGACTTCTTTAAATAAACTTTCAGTTGATGTCTACATTTTTTTATATTCGTGACAGCGAAACTCTCACCAAAAGTTCTTTCCCCAAAGGTTCTGTTAATGAGGAACTGTAAATCAGTGAAACGTACAGAAAATAAATACTTGGTTCATGTTCCCAGAGTTTAATGTTTGTCACCTTCGGGCTTGGGAGAATTATGTTCTTGGTAAAAGTTACCCTTTGACACCTTAGAGTCTTCAATTTATCAATTTAAGCTTGATTTTACTTTTAACTGAGTAGATCGCTTATTAAAGTGTGACTGGCAAGGTAGACAAGTTGTGCTCGGCAACAGATTCGATTGTAAAACATGGAACAGTGCATACCTTGACAAGTGAAAGAGTTTCAGCTAACTCCTCCAATTTCTGTCTCTTGCTTCGGTTCTCCTAAAAAAGTCAACAATGGATGATTCCCAAGAAATAACGAGCTTGCACGCCATGCCAGACTCTCATAAAGAAAGCCAGGACCAGCGCACCAGAAATCGGGGCTAGGTCATTTGCAGTGACACGAAAGTGTGACTTACCTCCGCCTTCCGTACTGCAAGATTGTACTTGCTCACAAATCTTTGCCACTTCTTGAACCTGTATTCTTCTTCAGCAGCTGTCATATGCTTGTCCGTGACGGTTGCATCCATCCTTTGCAGCATGGATAAAAATGAAGCACGCTTTTATTAAGTTGATGTTTCAGCCACTCCCTAAATAAGAACAAGCCCCCTAGTGCTTACAAGTGCTGGCCCACTCTCTTCCGAAGCTGTTCCAGGTCTTTGAAGAGGGCTTGCTCCTGTGACAGCCTGGCCTCCAATTCTTCACGTTGTCGGAAAAGGTCTTCAAACTTTTTTTTAAAGCTGCAGTTTGTTTTTAAAATGGGGAATCAGTGCTGAAAAGAGGCTATGCTAGTGTATACAAAGCTGTTACCACCATGGCTGTCACATTAGGCACACTTTACTATCATGTCGCCAGGGCATTACCAACTCTTTTTTTTTTCTCTATTAAACAGCAAATAGTACAAGCATCAGGAACTGCCATGTTGTCGCACGGCACTGCTCAGTGGAATCGACGCTCCGATACTCGAGTTCATTGTGCTCCACTATGAATTCTGTGCAATGTGTGCATTGTGTGTACTGTGATGATCATGCCATACTCCAAAGCGAATGCATCACTTTGTTTGCTTGATGCATTTATGCTCGGGTATTTATGCAGATGTCGTGCACGCTGTTGACACTATTGATCATGATGCACCGAACTAGCAAATCAGAACAAGCTTTGTTTAAAACCTCTCAACAAGTCCCTACCCGTGACAGTGTGTGCAGGCTCCGATGCCGAGGCCAAGCTCTTCCAGTCTAGTGCCGATGCTGCCAACCAATGCTGCCTTAAAGAAGATCATTACATGTGTCTAATGTCGCTTGTTCTTGTCACTGGGAAACTTGTAATTACAAAGTGCCCTATTAAGTTCAATACACATAATCAGAATGTGTGGAACTTATGAAATGTAGCATAACAATAATTTTGCTCACAATTGCACAGTTACAGGTGTAACAGTTGCAGAACATACGTGTGCCTCGTGTTAAAGTAGCGTTTCAACAAAATTTATAACTCTCTTGCATGTGTAAAATAGGGTAACCAACAAGAATGAACCGTCGCACTCTATAGTGTCGGTGCACCAGAAGTTGCAAGTAAATTTGAAAAGCTTTTCCTATTTTAATCTATTAAGCATTGCAAGGTGGCGGCTGTGCCTCGTCAGCAACGACGAGGACAAACTTCCAGACTGTGCTTCTACTTTGTGTTGCTTCCCACGTTTCTGGACTTGAAGCCAGTATTGTCGGCATGAGAAAGCACAAAGTTTTTTTTAATGACAATGACACGAAAATTTATGGCTGAAATGGATTTTAGCCCGAGAAAAAATGCAGCTCCACCCACAGAATCGAGATCTGCCCGCCCTTTTCCTGTGAAAGACAGCCGTGCTACATGGTTTTCCGTTGAACTGTAAGTACTTTTGCCCAAGTAATGTAAGTAGTTACCACCAAAACCTAACAAAATTTACCTGCATGGTCACGTTTCGTACGTAAAACCAGCGACACAAACTTGGGTAGCACAACGACCTTAAAAATCAAACAGCTGTACATTATTGGGAGATCAGGTCGCTTGACAGCAGAAACATTGCAGCCCATTGATGTGAACTTATAGGTGGATACTAAAGACAATTTTCGATTTGTTTATTTTTATTAGCACTATTATATTCGGGGTTCTTAGTCAAATGTCAGCATTAAGGAAACATGCAATCCTACAATGATCCTTGGGGGGGGGGGAGTTTTGTACGTTCCGTAACAGGGATCAATTTTTAAAATGCTAGTTTCTCAGCAAAAAGACACTCATCATTGCCGACTATTGCAGTCCATTCGCAGAACTATCTCCACTACGCAGCCGACTGCTGACCTCTCCCTCGCAGGTCGCTGACGTACTCCTGCCTATCGAAATTGTGGCCCCGGGCTTTCTGGAAGTCTTCGATTGCATTTGCCGGCGCTATGCCAAGCTTGTCGACCATATACCTGCACACCACGTATCCGGTCCTGTTAACTCCGTGCGTGCAGTGATCCCCCACGAGCTTGCCGTCGTTCTCTGGTCGCCCGACGAATGTGCCGACGATGTCGGAGAAGGACTTCACGATTTTTGTGCTGGGAACGCGAGCGCCGGGGCACATGATATTGGCGTGGGCGACGCCGCGTGAGACGATGCTCTGAGGGTCGTAGTAGCGATCGGTGTTTGTCAGGTCGATGACCAGGCCCAGGCTCTGTACCTTCTCGAGCAGGCGTTCTGGCGTGAACCGCTTGTCTGGAAGCGCCGAGCATATGGCGACGTGAAGCGGAGCCTTGAAGGCTACGAATCGTGTGCCGGGAACCACATCGCCATGGTCGGTGTAGTTAGGCCACCGGTCTGGAACGGCATTCTTGTAAGGCGCCATGCCCATGCAGGTACGCAAGCTTCTCCTAATCTCATGGCTCTGAGAAGAAGAAGAACAAGCTTCACGCGGTAAAATCTTCATCCTCTGTTATGAGCTTTCCGCATGTAGTACAAGGCAGCGCGCGAGCTTACAAAATGGCTACCGATGCCTTGCTGAGGCGGCTGGGGCAGCGCGAGATTGTGGCGATGCATGGTTCTGCATTTGGTTATAACACGGCGCTGGTACGTGAAATACAGCGTCTTAATTGGCGTGCCGGTACATTCTAGTACTTGTACGTGAAATACAGTTCCTTAATTAGCATGCCGGTGTTATAGCACACCCCTCCTTTTAAGCACGTGTGAACGAGAAGGTAGAAGGCAGGCCACGAAGGGTACCTCGCGAAGCCTAGCAAGGGGAAGAAACAGAAGCAGCTTCTTGCACAGTTTTGGCAACCCTCATGATGCAGCTTGATTCGCCTGCCATAGAGACCGTAACTATAGTGTCGATGGGACAACTAAGAGAAGTACTACATTGGCGCCTAAATGCAAACTACCTTCACACGCTATCACTTCGCCATTCTTTTCAGAATACCGATTGATTTGTGGGGTTTTAATGACCCAAAACCACGATATGATTATGTGAGACGCCGTAGTGAAGAGCTTCGTAAATTTCGACCTGGGGTTCTTTAACGTGCACCCAAATCTGAGCACACAAGCCTAAAGCGTTTTTCAGGATACTACCGAAGTGATGGGATTTTCACTGAAAAACTATTTGCAGTGATGATATCGATGGCTTCCACTTAGAACAAATTTTTGAAGCTCCAAAATTTTCTTTTCGGAGTACTGGGGCAGTCAATTTCACAATCACACATTTTAATAATAATGTTGCAATGTCGCAGAGGTAGAAGCCACCATTGGTCAGCGTCATTGTTGGGTATGGCATGGAAAAACTTTATTCAGGCCCTTCGGGGCGTGAACTAGCATGTAGCGGGCCGCTCCCACCTCGGGACAGATAGGCATAACCTGTTAGCCACGTCGTGGACCCGTTGGACTGCCCATAGCTGCGTCCTTAAATCCGTACTGCGTAGCGCACCATCCCACTTGGATGGCGTAACGTTTTCACCCTGTAACGCAGGGCACCCCCAGAGCATATAATTTTAGCTAGGCAAAGTCCGGTCAAAGCGCGCATGTGTTTGACGTCCGAGTTTCTGGGTAAATTTTTTGGGTCCCAACAATGAAACTGCTGCAAAGCGCTCGTATTTCGCGATCCAATCATCTACATAAACATTGTCCGTGCCGCAGAAGTTACCAAGATTGCGTGGCTGAGTCAACACGACCGGCTGTACCGGAGTCGCGGTCGAAGCAGGAGCAGCAAGATTACCTTCTGTAGACATCGTGGGGCTGACCAGAACACGTCCGCTGCGGAGTTCCGTCTGTGACGTACCCAGCACTTCCACCAAAATACACTCGCAACAATATTATAGAGCTCCTATGGACAGCTAGATTTCTCGATTTGTAGCAAATCTCAGAGAAACTGTAGCAGTCATTATTTCACTTGCTTATGCAAAAATAAGGGTGTCATGCAGTTAGATGTAGTGAAGTAACCTCTTCAGCTATTCTCTTTTTTTTTTCTGACACATGCCAAATAACAGAATGCTGGATCAATAAAACTATAAGCTATGAAATAAACCTAAGGGCAGGTCCTCAGCCAGAAATTTATGGCCATGAGGTTATTAAAATGCTACACTCAATCAGCAGAAATGGCAGACAAAGCTACAACACACAACAGCCCACCAATGCTAATAATTCGCATCGTCCCTTGCACTCCCTCAAGGTGACTGATAGGCGAAAATCGGGTTCTTTTCTTCTCACTTGATCGCCACCGACTCTGGCATAAAAGTCTGCAGAGAAGCAAATCTGTGCAACGGAAGCTACATCAACCAAGTTCGTGGCGCCGGGGCTTGATAGGGACACACGCGTGAGTGCTGTTTGTTCTGCGGAATATCCCTTGGTCATGGCGGTCAAGATGAATATGCACATGTTCACGACGTGCCAGAGAGATGCTTCTTGACTCCAGATTCTGGTGCAGTTAGGCACAGCTTACATCAATTTTGACAGGAGCGTGCCGTAAAACCAATTCGGCACCAGTGTGGTATCGCCACATTTGTCTATGTGCAAGTCTGGTTCACGATTAATCAGCAACTTATCCAATGACGGTGCCAGCTTGCTTGAGGCGTCTAACTGTCATGCTATGCAGCAGCATAGCTTGACAGTTGGACATCTTTTGAACCCCGACCATACTAGCTGCTGTGTCTGCATAACACATGGTGCATTTACACATAGCAAACTGACATAGTGTGGCTTGTGACCTATAAACGTTATTCATACAAAACAGCCTATAACACATATGGCCTACAGAAGTGCACAAAACATATTTAAAGGTAAACATGTTTGAGGGATAACTGTCAGGCTGGGCAAAAATTATACGAATAAAGCAAGTTCTCTAGCCCCACTTAGTTCATAGTTTTTTAATATTAAAATTCAAAATGACCCCACATTTCGAGACCCATTCGGTCCCTTCTGCAGGTGGTGATTGAGGAAGGGCCCAGTTTCTTGGTCTTGTTTGCATATGCGCATATACAAAGACTTGGAAACGTAGACTGGGTCCCTACCGAGTGTATATGTACACATTCTGTGGAACCAGTGGAGAAAACAATACGGCAACAAAAATTGTGGGAAAAATGACGGTGTGCAGTGGGACAACACCAAAAAAAGTTGCTAGCTTCAGAGCCAGCTGGACAATCGCCCCCCACGAGGGTGGGGCCAAATGTGCCTCGAAACATAATGCTGGTTTTTAATTTTACTATTAAGAACTGTAGACTAAAAGTGGCTAGAGAGTTTCTTTTATTTCTACAAAACATATTGCTGACACTCTGCCAGCACCAGTGATATTGTGCACTGCCATGAACCAATTTAGAGTGATGCAGGCGACACACTTTGAAACAGCGGAGTGCCAGTTGTCTACGTTTGTCAAATTATTGGTGGTGAAATTTCACCAGGAAGAAACACGAACACCAGTAATGTATTTCAGCCAAATTATCAGAGCAGCATAATGTCCTCACCTTTCCGGTCGCGAGTCTTCAACTCCCAGAAGAATTGCTGCACGTGCGTGTGACTTAAGAATCTCGCGTGCTTGTTGAGGTAGTTGTCCTGGTGCAATTTTCCCAACTCGAAGACCTGCTTCGAGTTTTTGAGCTGTTGTGAAAGCATCATTCATTAAACCAAAGTATGGTTTCACACTATACCACAAATGAATCAAGCCCATGGGTGCTCGCTCCGTAAGGCCTCACTACAACAAATATTTGCTTTATTTGCAGATTAACATTATATTTATTATTCACAACTTTAGAATAACAAAATGACACTTACCTATAGGCAAGTTACTGTAAAAATAAAGTTTTTTTTTATTCAAGTCCTGGAATGTTTATGAACATTGGCAAGCTTTTAACAACTTAGTGCCCAAAATTTATATATCTGCAATGTGCACCTGTTACAGCAGGCTGACTGGACAAATATAACAAAATTAATATAGGTAATTAATGTAGAGGGCTTGTCAACATAACTATATAGTTTTTACAATAATTTGGCAACAGCTATGTTGGCAGATGAGTGGCATATTCCAAAGCAGGGTGTAAATTATAAATTGCATCCTCTATGAATGTAATCATGCTCGCGAAATTGTAAAATTTTTTTTTACTGCGACTCCCTTTCTTTTTGGTTTCGGAGTGCGCAATAATCATTGTAAGAAACAGAATAGTCTAAAAAATTTTTCACATCAAGAAAGCTTATTGTATAATGCTCTTTTACATTTTTTTTATCAAAAGCAATGCATTAGCTCATTCAAAAGAGGAGCTATATCTCACCACAATTTTGAATATTTGCGCTACATGTAACCAAGTGCCAGCTGAACACCCAAACACTTGTGCAGGACAAACATTGGCACTCGTGCATGGCACTTAGGGACGTTCACTTTCAGCCAGTACGATTCTCAGCAGATGCTGACATTTTATTTTAAAGCTGATATTACCGTCAACCACACAGTCTTAGCAGCTATCTGAAATCGTCAATTTCGACTAAATGAATACGGGACAATGATAATAATAATATCTGTGGTTTTATGTCCTAAAACCAGGATACGATTATGAGAGACCTGTAGTGAAGGGCTCCGGAAATTTCGACCATCTCGGAAATTTCGAAATCGCACAGTACATATGGGCCTCTACCATTCCGCCAACAACGAAATGCGACCGCCGCTGCGGGGTTCGAACCCGCGACCTTAGGGTCGGCAGCCGAGCACCATAGCAGCTTCCACCGATGCGGACTTCGGACGATAAAGAAACATGCTAACACGGTTAATATTTTGGCGCTTTCCAATAGCCAGACTCAGGGAAGCACACACTTCTATGAGTGACCCTGAAGCTAATCCCACCTTTAGTTGATTAGACTACCTAAGCTAGGACAAAAAAAAAAGGAGCCGTAGATTTTATTTTATAACAAATCTGGCGTTTAAATAGACGGTGCAGCAAATTCATAAACGCCTTATTCTTTACTGTTTACTCATGGCCAAAGTAATTGCATGTCATCGTTTCACTGAGGCGTCGGTCCAGACTACCGCGTTAGACAAATAAAGAAGAAAAAAAACACGTTCAGCTGTCAGGCAGTTTCCGTGAAGTAGAACATCACCAATGCACCTACCATTTTGCTTGAAGAACTTGGCTCGTTCTTTCAGAACTTTGATTTGTTCCTGCGCCTGTTTTTCTGCAGCGACTTGGTGTTTCATCAACTTGAACAAGACATCGATATCATCTTCCACGTCTTCTTCGAGTATTTTTTCCGGGTCTTGTTCGAGTATTTCTTGAAGCCAGGCTGTCACCTAGAAACAGATCCTTGGTGTTCAGTTGAGACATGACCGCGGATTTACATTCGCTACTATGTTGAATAAATCGGAAGAACCTGTTTCTTTCGCTCCTCTGGTGTGGGTTTACCAACTGGTTCTGAACTGCTGGCCATCTGTTCCGCACAGATGTCACTCCTCTTGAACAGCTATCAACTATTTGCGTTCGTGTTCTAGCAGTGCGAACGTTACATGCTACGATACAAACAACCCGCCTGTGGCTGTACCACTGGCTGTACCCTTTATAGGATAAATGGATGGATGGATATGACTGTACCCTTTAAATCGGGCGGTGGCTAGCGCCACCAAGCCGTAATACCTAATGAACCAAAAACCACTATATTTTTTTTTTCCTTAAACAGTGAGTTTGAGGATTTGTACTTTGCAGTGAAGAGTTTAATTTTCACTCGTGCCTAGACCTTAGCCACCAATTAGATAACCTCCTTCTAGTTAAGTCTACCCGCTTAAAGTTTATTTTGCCCTCCCGGTCTCCTAAACCGCAGTGCTTTGAAAAACTCTGCGCCATCATCCTGAACTATAGGGTGAAGCCCTTTACAGAACATTATCAAGTGTTCGGCAGTTTCTTCTTCCTCTCCACACGCACTGCATACTGTGTCTACCCCTTCGTATTTGACCCGATATGTCTTGGTTCGCAGTACTCCCGTCCTGGCCTCAAACAGTAGAGAACTACCCCGAGTATTATCATAGATCCTTTCCTTGGCAACTTCCTGCTTAAAAGTTCGACAGATCTCTAATGCGGGCTTCTTAATCATGCCCATTTTCCACATGTCAGTCTCCGTTTCCTTCACTTTCTTCTTAACCGATAGTTCTTTTTGGTTTGGCCACCTACTGTTTTCTAAGTATTTACCAGTCAACTTCCTGGTTCGCTTCCTCCATTTTGTATCGGCATTCTTCATGTACAAGTAGCTGAAAACCTTCCTAGCCCAACGCTCTTCCCCCATTTCTCTCAATCGCTTCTCAAATTTTATCTTGCTGCTAGCTTCCCTACCCTCAAATGATGTCCATCCCATATCACCTTGTACTCCCTGATTTGGTGTATTCCCGTGAGCTCCTAAAGCAAGCCTACCTATTCCACGTTGCTTAATTTCTAATCTTGCTTGAACTTCTGATCTCATGCACAAGACCGCATTGCCGAACGTCAGCCCAGGAACCATGACCCCTTTCCATATTCCTCTCACAACATCATACCTATTGTAATTCCACAGTGCCCTATTTTTCATGACTGCTGCATTCCTATATATATATTGGGTGGCGGCTAGCGCCACCTAGCCGTAATATTTAGTGAACAAAAATGGATTTACCCTTTTTTATTCTCGTTAAATGATGAAGTTAAGAACTGCCGCTTTCGCAGTGAAGAATTTAATTTTCACTCGTGCTTTGATTGTAGCCACTAATCGGATAACCTTCTTCTAATTATTTATTCTTCTAGCTATTCCTGTCCCCAAACCCCAGTGCTTTGAAAAACTCTGTGCCATCATCCTGAACTATAGGGTGAAGCCCTTTACAGAACATTATCAAGTATTCGGCAGCCTTCTCCTCTTCTCCACACGCAGTGCATACCGTGTCTACCCCTTCGTATTTGAGCCGATAAGTCTTGATAGAGTTAACTCCTATCGATATCCTCTGTCCGCCATCTCTGCATTTTTCGCAAATTTGCTGGTATTAGATGACAAAACATACTAATGAGCCGTACATTTGTTGCTGAAGAAAGCGCAGAACATACTGAAAAGCATAATTGTTTCTGATTCGCTTGAAAGTAGTTGTCGTAGAGCCAGACCGAAGTGTGAAAATCTTAAAGTCAGTGTAAATTGAAGAAGTTTGATACGGATAACAACTGAAGCATATGGTGATGATGACAACGACTTTGGTGAACGGCCAAGTGGCAATAAAAATAACTCGTTTTTTATGATAGTTACAGCGCGAGAACCACCTTTTCTTCCTCCGTTGCGAGAATAGAACGACGACACAGAGACAAGGAGGACACGAAGGACTCTGTGTCGTCGTTCTGTTCTCGCTCTATAACCCTCGACATGTCATACCAACTTGCCCAAGATGCCACACTCGCTTATTGTTTTTTGTAAAAAGTTAAAAAAACATGCGCACAAAAACGCGCTGCACGTTATTTTTCTTCATGCCTACATTACCTCCCATACGTCATCTGTCCATATTTTACACTGGCACGCGACGCGCATGCGCAAAGTAGTCGTGACGTCACTTTGTAGAGTTGGCAAGGTCGCGGAAAAAGGAGATGTGGTAAATTTGGCACGTTTGTTTGTTTTTTTCTCCTGGGTTGGGTTTTGATAACCATTCGAAATACCGGATTTTAATCCGATAGAACAAGGCTTCACCGATCTGTGTGAAGCTTCACCAAGGAGCGCGCGTGATGGTCTCACGTTCGCCATAGCACGTCATTGCCGCACTTCGTTCTGCCCGAACGGTCTTGAGTCATCTGACGGGGTGTTTCGGTTCTAAACGTAAACACAATATCTGTCGAATTCGCGATCTGTGGTTCTTGTACGGGCGTGTATCGCACGGTTATTTATTCGACTGGACTAGGCTGCTGCTCTCAGTCGTCTAGAAATTGCGGAACAAGTTTAGGTAAGGGCAACATCGCTTCTTGCCTAGTTCAGAAGCGGCGTAGCTCATACAGAGCAAGGTCGCGATGATCGTTGCACGTCCGTTAAAGTAGGCTACGTCGCTTGCCGCTGCCCGCATTCGACTCTGCCGGGCCGCTTGAGAGAGAGAGAGAGAGAACTATCTGTTCCATCGAGTGCTGCAATAGAACGCGGCTGTTAAGCGAGGCGGCTTTGCCACTTGTGATCAACGCAGTGTGCACCTGTCGTGACAACCAGTTCTCACTCCCTCCCTTGCCCGCTTGCGTATACAACCGGAGCATTTTTATTTTGCTAAACATCGGTGACCGTAGTCCAGGGAGTAGCGGCGCAATTGGGAATTCATCGCATAGTGCCTCAGTCTTCACACACACAAAAAAAGCAAACACGAGGGCGGAACCTTTCAGAGGATGATCGTTCTGACGTCGACATTGGTTTGCGTGGATAGCGCTGCGGGCCATATGGATTTGCTGTAAACACGTGCGGCGATGTAAGGTGCGATGCCGCGTTTGACCTAAGCCGCTTCGTTTTACGGTGTGCCTTTATTTTATCGAAACGTTCAAGTTTCGCTTGTCTTTGATTGCGCCTAGGTGCTGACCTCGGGGAAGACGACGAACAAATCCCCCCGTCGACATGTCGTTTGGGAGCACGGTGGGCATTCTTGACCTCTTTGAGAAGGAGGACCCCTTCTTCAAAGATTCCGGCAGCCTGTTCACCAGCGATCTCCCGGACGCCGGACTTTTGGTCTGTGTCTCTTTTACTTTACGTTTGTTCCACTCGTTCGGTGTTGGAAGGTGTTTGGGCTTAAATGTCACCAGGAAACGGCACCGGCTGTTTCCACCAGACGCACGTGGCCTGGTTCCGCGTTAGCGGCTCCACCTCCGCCGCAGCGTGATCAGTGGTAGACGCGTAGCTCGTTTTTATGGCCAATCATGTGCGTTAGTACACTGCAGCACTTGACGCCCGTGGTTGGTAATTAAACTTTAGCACGCCTAATTAGTCTTAGTGTTTAGCAGATAACTTGCCGATTCGTACACGTAGGCATGTCACATCTACCACTGTGCCCGCAGTAATTTATGCCAACATACCGCTTAGTAAAAAGTTACACAGTCTGTGAAACTATTTGGTATTAAATCATTGTCAAGTTCTTGCACACCTTTGGGATCTTCACCAGAGCATGTTATATAACAGCATAACTGACTCATCGTTGTGTTTACTTATCTAGCCTGCTTTATTAGAAGCTCTTTAATTAAAAACAGAATATTGCATCACTTTCTTCTGAAAGTGTGAATTATAATGCTTGGCTGGCAGTAGTTGTTTTTAAGCAGAACACTTTGGCTGACATGGTGTCTCTCTGAGATACAGCTCACCTGTTATCATTGCAGAGTTTGCTTTGGTTCTTGAAAGCATCTTCAATGTCTTGCACAAATACTGAAAATGCCACGTTAGCATGGTGCCGATAAGTGCACAACAGGAGCATCGTCAGTTTCATGGGTAGTTTGTGATATGCAGTTAGGGTCCAGTAATCAACAGTAAAATTATAGCTTTTGGAACACTTTCTAACTTGCATCTGACAAGTTAGAGAGTTTCAGCAATGGTTGTTCATTCAAATTATTACCTTAGGAAAAAGCTTGATGCAAGCTTCAGCTTTGTCCTCAGTGATGATACATTTAGGTACATGTTATGCAGACTGTAAGTGTGTGAGAATATTGTTCAATAGTGACTGTGCATATTGTCACCTTTTGAACATTTAAAGGTGCATTGAATATGAGCTTAGTTTAGAATACTAGTTACTCTGGTTGTATTTAGGAAATTGCTTTAATAATAACCAGTAACTGGGCCTGTGCTTACTTCATCACTTTTCGTATCCTGCTACCACTTTGCGATTCATACCAGCCCCTTTAGTCTTGGACAGTGGCATTGCAGCTTATACTGAATGTGGCTGTAGTTGTATGAAATGAGCAGTTATTTTGTACCCAGAGCACTCTGTGTAAAGCTCAGAAATTTTCTCTAATTTAGAACCACAAATTTCTCATAATTTCATTTAAATAAAATGGGAAGCAGCGGTATACTGCCTTATTGATTCTCGCGCTATTTGCTGAATGCCAATAACCTGTTGTGCACTCTCCAAGTTTCAGTTAATGGCTTGCTCTTCTTTTACTTCACTTCATTTTCACAATTCATAAGGACCTTTCCACTTCCAAAGCACACTTTTGTACGGCCTTTCTCAAGCCTGCTCACTTAGTGGTTTGTTGTTGTCGCTGTTACGCATCCAAATTTTATTCTTGCTGTGCCTTTACTAAATACAGGTTCATGTGTTTCTGCCCAATCCTGCACCCTTGTAGCCAGAACTTGAGAGTGAGAGCATCGACTTTTGGACCAAGTATCTGATCGGTGACTCAGCCTTGCCCTCACTGCACGATGACGTGCCCGACTCCGTGCCAGACCTCGTGTCTGCGATCTTGCCAGCGTCGCCATCCCAGGAGCACAGCTACAGCCTGTCTCCTGATGGCAGCGTTGCCAGCTTGTTGTCGCCTCGGACGGGCCCGAGGTCCGATAGCTCTGAATTCTCCACGTTAGACGGCCATCAGGTGGGACTCTTGCCAGCAAGTCTTTTCAAGTGCTGTCATTTCTGTAGTAGACATGCAAAATTTTTAAAGCACCAGTAGATAGGCTCTGAATCCTCTTTTACACCTCCTGATTGAGCTGTACCTTGTATGGAAGACCATGTTGATCACATTTTGTGCAATACCACAGCACTGTATGCCGCAGAGGCACTCTATTTCGAAAAACAATTCCCGCACCCTCTCCCCAGCGCCTGTTCAGTCCTCTACATCTGCGAAGTAATGTAAAGTTTCCTATAGTGATATGGATAAAGTTGGTGATATGTAAAGCTGATATTTAAAGTTAATCCATTAGCAACTTTACATATCAGTTTGTCCATTGGCCCTTTTCAGTAATTCTCATAGCAGCATCTTTGCATCTTAGAAGTGTGCAGTTTTTCTCTTCGTCACAAATTTTAGGCCATGGGGTCCTTTACTGGCCCTTTATAAGGTGTTATTATACAAAATGATGAATGTAGCTGCTGTGGCATCTCCAGCAGATGTATGACATCTGTACTCCCAGCTGCATGCAGCTTCTTTAGACTGTGTGACTTAATTGGTAGCTTGGCCATTTAACTTGGGCAGGACTTCGCCTTTATGTCTATAGAGGTGCATGTACTTCTTATAGTCTTGATATGCACTGGTCTGGTATCTTACACTAGAAAGATGAAACATATGCACACCTTTCTTTTAGAAATTGCTTAGTCTTTCACTGGATAATTGGAGTACATTACATTGTTAACTAAAGAACCTGCACATATCCTTCTCAGAAGATATAGAATGTGATTCATCGTGGCTTTCTTCTACGTGTTTGCACTAATGGCTGTTGATTTTTTGCAGTCAGCATATATTTATACTTTATTGTAGTTTCATAAACATTTGCGTATCTGATAAGTACTGCATGTAACATTTATCTTCCCTCTGTTCTCATGGATGTTCAAGAAATTACCCTTTATCTTTGTTGCAAATTAGTTCTGTGCCTGAACAAGGCTTATGTCGGTTGTGCATTGATGCCTTTGATGTCCATTTGGCACTTTTAACATTGTGCAAAGGGCCTGCTGAAGGTGATTAAGTCAACTCATTTCAACTGCAGGAGGAAGCAATGGATTTTGATGATCCCTTGTATGTTGATGTCGTTGGTGTAGAAGAGTATGACAACAGTTCTGTTTCACCATCCTCCGTTGTGGAAGAATGTGTATCAACAACATCACCTTTGGATGACATTGGTGAGCTTACTTTAATCACTGGCTAAAGTATGTATAGAATTATTTATGAATTGTTAAAGCACGTACTGCAACTTAATGGAGGATGAAAATCACAGTGATTTTGGCTTATTTTATATATAATGTTATCTTCTAAAATCTTAAGGCAGATACACTAAGTTCGCAGACTTGCATCACTGAAAGTTCTAGAACTAATTCTATGTTTGGCAGCAGTTTATAGTCATCTTAGTAGAATTAAGGTTCAGGAGGAAGTCACTCAATTCAAACTTTTGAAAGGACGTCAAAGGATCAGCAAAGGTGGTCAAAATTTCCGGCGTCTCTCATAATCAAATGGTGGTTTTGGGACGTTAAACCCCACAAATCAATCAAAAACAAAATGTATCTGCACTTCGTATTCGAGATCTTCTGGATCTTGACGAATTGTGCTTAAGCAGTCATGAAAAATGTGGTCATGATGTTCTAGATACATGTGCATAGGGGCTGTGTTCGTTTCCTTATGCAAAATGGCTGTTAGCTTTAGCTATACATCCAATAAGAAATTTTATTATTGTATATGTAGCCGAGGTATTGTGTGAAATTATTTTTCGTGCATGCCTGTCCATATCATAATGCTACTTTATAATCATAATGCTATTTTAAGCATGCAAACTTTGGAATTTTGCATAATTTTACCAGTTGGGCCAGTTAGTACATGACCAGCGAAGTGGAAAACAGTGCGCAACACAGGACAGTGACAGAGCTTCGTCCATCTCTGTCACTGTCCTCTGTTACATGCCGTTTTTCACTTTGTTGATCATTTATCATCCTTAAATTCCTATGTTTAATGTTTTGTTTTTAATGCATGTGCATGATGTACCTGTTCGCTCAGTGACCTACAAATATTTGCACTGGACCGTTATTAAAGAAAAGTAAGACGCTTGCTTCATGCCACTTCTTCGCCTTGCAGCTGCGGATGTGATTGTTGCTACTACGGATGCGAAAGATTGTGAGCAGGCAGTGATTGTTGAAGTAAGTAAACAATTTTCTGGAATTATCTACTGTTTGCTTTGTGCTACCTTTTCTCTTACTAATGCCAGAAAAGGTGCAGTTTGGTCTGTATAGTCAAATAATGTCCAATGCACTTTTTATTTTCCATCCTTGTTGATGCCTCTAGTGGTGCTTTACCCATGTTATCTGGGACTTGCTGGCTATGAAGTGGTTATTGGTAGTAGAGGCATAGAATGTAGAACAAAGAATCATTGCATTATATCAGCCCTTCTACAGAACCTTACATAAGTAGAATTTGAACTTGTAAAAATATTTTGCGGGACAGGAATGTTGCACAATTACTGTTGCCCCTTCTTTACTGCACGCCACAACAAGAGCGATCTAGATTTTGTTTTGCGTCAACACTCAGTGATTTCAGTGGCAGAAAAAAAAAAACACAATACATTTGATATCAAACATGATGTGCCCTTAATTGCATTCTCGAATGGCTCAAGGTATTGTGGCAGAACAATAAAGAATCATCAGTAGAAGGCCACCTGCATGCCAATATGTGTTGTAGATCTGTCCTGCTGGGAAACAGCCGTTCTGTTATTAAGGGTAGATACGAAGCAGCTCTTTGACAAGCCTGTGTAATGCTGTCCCTCCGCACGAATGCGCCGCCGCGCTGCAGGTGTTGGCGCGATGCCAAGCAGGTTACGCTGCTGCTGCGCGTTGACGTCGCGCTCCCCTTGCAGTGCACGCTGACATCTCTCTTCCTCGCCTACTAGGCACTTGCCGCAGCGCCCGCAGCTGCCGCCTCCTCCGTTCGGCCGCAACACCTGCTGCGACCGCAGCTCACTATACCGCAGAGTGGACTCATCGGTACGCACGCAATAAACATGATGTGCGCCTAACGTACGCATTGAAACTTGTCTGTACGTGTCACCTACAGGACCTACGCCAGCCATCGCTTCAAACGAATCCTTCAGTGCTCACCGCAGCACCTGCGTTAGCTCCGTTCAACCTGTAATGCCACCCGTGCACAACGCTGCTGCTTCGCATCCCATCAGGGTTACCTTTGTGGAGATGGCACAAGTTTGTTGCCTGTCTTCAGTTGTTTGGTGGTGTTAGGGCCCTAACTGGCTTGTTTTCCCCAAGTATTATTCTAATGCACTGGAGGGACAATTCGCATCTTTGCATGCAATTTTTATGAAGCCTTACTGAATTGAATTGAGTGCAGCAGGGCAACAAATTGTGATGAGCAGTTGTGTGATTTCTGCACCTATTGCAACAAACTGTGCCAATGGGTGAAATCTGCTTCTAGCTGCTACATTTCGGCAGAAGTCATATAATATTGTGATAGTTTCGCAGTCTTCTGGGAAAAAAAATCAGCATCAGGCAATCAAAACACTTCCATGGGCAACACTGGTCAGAAAATGCTACCCACTTGGGAGTTGAGCCTTAAAACACGCAAGCCAAATATTGTAAAGCAGCACAGGGAGCAGAATTCACAACTAATTCTCAATGTCAGCCAGAAATCGATCGCTCTTCCCTTGACCAATAATGCCATAAATGTGAACGACCACACCATAAAGGCCACGGCCACTGCCTGGTTTGAGCATTGTGATGTGCATAGTGACCGAGGCCACCACGAGATGCCTCCTTGCGACAACTTGCTAGCTTGCGATCGCAGTGAAAGTTCTAAGAAGGAAAAAAAAACCACTTCAGGTCATGACGTGCACCGATAAATGAGTGTAGCTTCCTGCTCCATTTTTCATCCTTGCTTTTAGCCTGCTCACTGGTACGACAGTTCTGCAACTCTGCTTGTACTTGACGGATTCTAAAAACTGTTGAGGTAGTTGATTTGGATGGCAAGTACTCGTTTAATGAGCCATTTGATGACTACATTTAAAAGTATTGTATGGCCTTTTTAAGTTACTGTAGCATGCCTGCCAAGTCTCCCGGATTACCCGAGAGGCTCCCGGATTTTGCAAGTTTCTCTTGATTGTTCGGGTCATAGAAAAATCTCCCCGGAAATCCAGTTTTGCCCCGCGCATCCACTGCTTTGCCTGGCCGATTGAGCAAATTTGCCTGGCCATGTAGTAAGAAAGATTTTTTTTTAGCGATCGTGGCAAGGTTGAACTCTTTTCAATGTACATTTTCGAGAGGCGAAAGTAGCGCCAGAACATGCGGCCTGCCGAGTAGGAGCGGAGAAATCGCACATGGCTGTGCAGTTTTTGAAGGTCATGCACAACAACTAAAAAAAAAAAAGAGAAAACTTTATTGTAGTAGAAGGAAGGAAGTGACCCCGTGGCACAGTTGATGCTTTTGCTGGCTGTTGAACGTGCTAGCATTCCCACGCGAGAGAGAAAAAAAAGGAGAGCAAAAAGGGAGCACCTCCAGCAGGAGCGCTTGCTTGACGTGCCAAGCGCGCAGCGCTCTTAGTGGCTGTTCTATTGCAGCCAGTGGTGGGTGTGCTGCTGTTAACCTTTGTGGGGGGGGGGGAAGGGGGGGGAGCGCACAGTGAGCCCTTTACATTGACATAATAGGGAGTGGCGGGGCGACTCGGGTAGACAAAGAGGTGCGGCGGGCTGACGCTGCGACGGACCTTCACTCTCCCCCTCCTGTACCTAGAAAGGGAACTGCACATGCTTATGCCCACAACTCACCAGGCACTTTCTGTACCTTTTCTGTACCCCTTTCCCCTATCTCTCAAGGAGCTAAGCTGAACCCTGCTTTCGCAAGGGTTTCTCGAACTTAATGGCAGGGCTTTTTAAGCCGCCCGCCATGATTAATCAGCCACTTCTCCCTTCCAAGTCGGAACTTTTTAAATTTTTTTTCTCTTTTAATATTTGGACCGTTTTCTCCTCACTGTCTCTTTTACCTCCAACCTCCTTATTGAGGGCTCCTCCCCGATATTCTTACCTTTTCCCTCCATTCTTGGCTTCTTTCTGTTTTTTTTACTCAACCGCTAGGGTTGCCAAAAAGAGTGCCTGACACTGCCTGTTTTCTCAAGGTATGAGGGGAAAAGGTTGAGCTGGGGAACGGTGAGTGGTCGGCAGGACTGTATATGGTCCCTTGCCCGACAAAATAACTCATAAGCAAGTGACGACAGGCCTTGCACACGGAGCGATGTTATCGCATGTGCCCTTCGCGTGACGGTGATTGCCGGGTCGTTTCATCACTGCTTCAGCCGGGTTGGTCCCTAGCGGTAGGGCGCTTTTACTCGAAAAACAGACGGTGCATCAGCGATGTTATCGGTTTGGACTCTGTACAGATCAGCGGCGGCCACAAATTTCCGCTAACAGTGTTCATATAATTGCTGTTGTGACATCCTGAATATGCAGCGGCGGTGCTACGCAGCTTCACACTGGCCAGAAGATGGCAACACATCGCTCACAGCTTTCAAGGAAACTTGCGCACTAGTTATCTACTACAGCACCTTTTGTTAGGGCTGTCATGGGGAGCCAGTTTCACCTTTAGTTACGTAACAATATTGATTTATGTGTGCATATATTTTGGGAGACATGATAAAGCTGCTCTCGATCAGACCTTTAGAGTTGTAGTACTATTCATAAATCTGTGACAGGCAATTGCTCTAAAAGACCGATTTGCTGCTCCAAAGCAGAATTTTAGCTGCTCCAGAAGTTGCGCCAAAGCAATTTTGGTCGATCGCATCTCTGAATGAGTGCACAGTTTGTATGTTCAATTTTTTTATCGATGTAGTATCTGACTATTACGTGTTTGTATAATCGACAACACAACACAATTTGGTGTGCCTTTTCATGTGCAGGGCACAGTTCTGCCCGACATCTTGGAAGCCCCTGACAGCCCTGTGGCTCCCGAGAGCCCCTCTGCGATGTCGTCATGCAGTTCAACACACAGTTCCCCAAGTGCTGGAAGCCGATCAAATAAGGTTAATTGCAATGCTTGTAGCTCAAGGTCGCCTTTTGCGAAACAGCACCCTCTGTTACATACTGCAGCTAGTGCCTTCGTGTAATATGCACCCATAGCGTATTACTCTGGTTAAAGAAAAAGCTTCACCATGTTCTGCACATGTAAGTTGCGATAAATGCAGCTGAGCTTTTCGATTTTGCATTAGGTTCCAACGGGACACCACAAGGGGCAGTCATTTCTCCACTCCTTTTTAACATAGTAATGAAGGGACTATCTGACAAACTCCGCGAGATCCCAAACATAAACCATGCTATATACGCAGATGACATCACCATCTGGTGCCCGGGAGGCTCATTGGCGGAGTTGGAGCAAGCCCTTCAAACTGCTCTCAATACCACAGAAGCCTACTTAAAAAACACTGGACTTCGTTTGTCGCCCACAAAATCAGAGTTGCTACTGTACCGGCAATCTCGCCAAGGCGTTCGTAACTTAACACCCTTGGGTGATCTACCCATAGCGCTACACGCCAAAGATGGGCAGCGAATACCCCGCGTGGACTCCATACGCATTCTCGGCCTCCTCGTCGAGGCCACTGGCTGTCATGCAAGAACAATTAAACATATCACAGCTAAAACCGAGAACATGCTCCGACTCATTCAGCGAGTCTCGGGTCGTAGACGAGGCCTTGGAGAGGCCAACCTTCTGCGCATATACCACGCGTTCCTAATGAGTCACATCAATTACGTCGCCTCTGCCCACAACTGGACGAAGGTAGAAAAGACGAAACTAAACACACTCATGCGCAAAAGCATTAAACAAGTCCTTGGTTTGCCTCAAAACACGAGCACTTCCCGTCTCGACCAACTAGGCATGCACAACGGCATCGATGAAGTGATCGAGGCCCAGACCACGGCCCAAGTGATCCGCCTCTCCTCCTCCAAGGCAGGCCGCCGACTTCTAAGCGAGGCCGGCATGTCCCCACACCCCTGCCTTGAACGCGCAGTAACCCTCCCCAGAGTTGTCCGAGCTACTTACATGGTAACCCCATTTCCGCGAAATGTCCACCCACAACACAACAAAGGCAGACGGCTGGCCCGCGCTCGCGCGATCCTAAACCGTACCGCCGCGAATCGCAACTCTACCGCATTCGTCGACGCAGCGCAATACGGTAACTCCTCCTCTTTCGCACTCGCGGTAGTAGATGGCGACGGAGCCCTACGCTCAGCCGCCTCGGTTAGGCTATCAACAAGCGCCATAGCCGAACAAGTTGCTATAGCTTTAGCGATGACCGACCCCTCACTCACTAATGTCTTCACAGACTCTCGCGCCGCCATTCGGGCTTACGAAACCGGCAACATCGCTCCAGAAGCAGCCCGCATTTTACAAACACGGAAATATACGGGCTCGCACTACCTTTCTTGGTTCCCTGCCCACATGGGCAAAGACGTTCACCCACAACAACCCAACCTCAACGAAATGGCTCATGATCGAGCACGAGAACTGACCCGCCGTGACGATCAATCAGCCACCGAAGAGCTGGGCCCAGACGTGCAGTTTAATGACCCACTACTCACCTTCCATGAAATTACCTCCCACTACCGACACAACAGAAGCCGATACCCTTTACCCCATTCAAAACTCGAACGCGCGCAAGAAGTAGCCTTTAGAATGTTACAAACGAGATCGTACCCATCACGGGGCCGACTCAGCCATTATAACTCAGACATAAATTCACAGTGCCCAGATTGCACAGAAGTGTACTGTTCACTCACGCACATGCTCTGGCAATGTCCCGCGTTACCTCAGGGACCTCTCACCAGTGAGTCCGACTGGGAGGAGGCACTCAGGAGCCCCAATCTCCGAAACCAACTTAAGGCAGTCCAGAGGGCCCAAGAACTGGCGGAACGCCACCACGTTCCAGCCCCGACTCGGGCGTCGCCTACGGTAGCGGCTGCTAGGATGTCCCACGTGGGCACCCTGGTGGCTTAAACTCCTCAGGACCATATATTAAAGTTCTTGACTGACTGACTGTTCTGCACACAGTGGTAATGCCTTGCAGTACATGCATATTGAGCATTCTTGGAGACAGTATTGTCACGATCGTGAATTGTGTGCGCACATTGGGCCTTGCAGAAAAATATCAAGGTTGAAACTCAATAATGTAAAATTATCTTACACAGCAGAATCCCTTTCATAATAACTTATAAAAGATACTAACTGTAGAAACTAAATTACTATTATTAAATTACTAAATTACTATATTAAAAGTTACTAACTGTAGTGACGAACTTTCAGTCCCATGTGCCATAGAGTCTCATAGTGTATATGTGGCACTTTCTGGCAGGTAAATAATTATTTAAATAATTAATTTCTTCTGCCAGCTTGCTTTGCAAGCCATAAGCAGGAATGGGTTGTACAAAAGATACATGTTGCACAAAAGAGACAAAATTAACAAACTGTGAAAACACCTTGAGGAAAAAAGAAAAAATTTAAGTTATGAGATCTGTCTTGAACAGTATATTTTGACGTGTGAAACATCAGAAACAATATAATATATAAAAAACACAAAAAAATGTTGCAGGCGAAAGTGCTGGCAAGTAAATACATGGATAAAAGAAAAGAAAAAATTGTTATAGAACAAGAAGTAGTAATGACAGAGAAATGACAAAAATGAAAAACGTGACAACTACGCGCAAAAGAGCACTTGCTTACAGAGCACTCAGCTCAGCAGCGAAAAGGATACGTTTATTATTGCTTTTTTCAATCTACCCACCAACTTGATTGTGCATCTGTGACTGTAAAACAGCTTTGTGGTAGAGTTGAGTGTAATTTGTTTATGGACGATAAACGTTTTTACATTAACTCGTGAGATAAAAAGAAACAGAATTGACCTTGTCACCTGAGCATCGGGGCAGGGTCTGTACAGCACCCTGCAGATATTATGCATTACAAAGCAACATGGAAGCTATGTAACTTTTCAAAAGGGCTGTGAGAAACTAAGGTTATGTCATGTGATTTCTGCACTGAGCCTCTGAACTCCTGTTTATTAAGACCGTTACGGCCAACAAGTTGGCCGTTATGGTCTGATTAACAGGAAACACTCATGGCCCACGTTCTGAAGTATTTCCTGGGAGCACCTGTGCCTTCTGTGGGGATGCCTAGGACAATATAATAGATGCGTAGCTGCGAGCATGCATGTGACTGTGGTGTCCCACAATTGTGTTTCAGAAGACAGAAGAGGTTTTACAGCTGACAGAGGAAGAGAAACGGCTTATGCACAAAGAAGGCATTGTCCTGCCGACAACAATGCCCCTTACAAAGGTGGGTCATTGCACAAAGCAGCACGTGTGCAGCACATGGTTTTGCTAGGCTTAATTCACTGTTTCCTGCATTTCTTTTACGCATGTATAGTTGGACCTAATTGCATTGAACTGGGTCAAATGAAATTATTCCTTCCATAAAATATTTCATGGACATATGTTGCAATAGGTGCAGTCAGCACATCGAAAAGAAAATGTAATTGTGTACGGCTCTTCAGGTTTGCATGTCGTAACTTGTCACTTCACGTGGGGCTTCCTTGCTTCCAGGTCTATTTACTGTGAGGCTCTAGATCTTGCAGCGAGCCATTTCTTCATACCTTCATGATTGTTGGCCCACATTTCACTCCTTTTTTTGTCATCAAAATTCACCAGTCATTGTGACAAATGGTAGGATAAACTTTAAGGGGAAAAATTCAAAAATATGGCCGTACATTATGTCACAATACAAGAAATGCTTAAAAAAATACATCAGTGGTCTGTGTGCTGCCTGTATTTTATATCATTTAAAAGCACCGTTAGGTTCATTGCTTAAAGTTTTCGTGAGACAGCTTTATAAAAGAAAAGAAAATTTTTTCGCACAAGTCAGTGAACACTGTATAAGAAGAGTAAAAGGGTGTTGTGTGATGTACTGGTTCATTCCAGATGTCATGTGAAGGAAGCATAGAACAACATGAACTTGAAGGGGTCCTGCAATGTTTTTTTGTCTGCGCCGCGTAGTGATCAGTACTGAGATTAAAGGGACAGACAACCGCTGAGAGTACGAATTGAGGTAACTTCACTAATAAAAGATTGTTTAGTGTGCTGTCTAAAACGAACCCCGTTTTTCTTGTTAAGACAGGAATGTATGTTTTTATTTTTTCACTGAACATTCCTTTTGGTGCCTCTCCTGGCAAAAAAAGGGAAGTTCACTTGGTAGTGATCACGTGACCTTTTGCTCGTGTACGCTATTAATTAATTTATTTATTTATTTACAGAGTACCTACATCGCCATATAGGCATTACGTAAGGGGGGAACAAAAAAAAAACAGTCAGTACAAAGGAATTCGTAGCAAAATACATAAAAATAAAAAAGAACCACCGCCACCGCCACATTTATCAGAACATAATAATGCATCACAAAATACATTTTCATGCACACAGACCATACATAATGCAAGAAGAATTTCACAGCATAGAAAAAATAAATCATTATTTGTTATATAACCAAGTCGTCACTTAAGCTGTTCCACTCTTAATGTTTTTGGAAAGAATGAGTGGAAAAAAGTATTGGATCTGCATTTGAAGGTAGATATCTTTTTGCTATTGTCACAGCGAGTGGATGTGTAGGGGGGTTGAACAAGGTAGCTATGGTGATTGATTCCTGTGTTAGAGTAATATATCTGGTGCAACAGTTTAAGCCGTAGTTTCTGTCTACGTACACGTAGCAGATCCCATCCCAAAGTGGCCTTCATTTGTGAAACGCTGGCGTAGGGGCTATAATTATTTAAAACAAACCTTGCCGCTTGGTTCTGAAGTTTTTCTATTTTATTTATAAGATAGTCTTGGTGGGGGTCCCATACTACGCATACTAATTATTTCTATATTAGCATCGAAATGCAGAACTTTCTTATATAATCTTTTTTTTAATGTAAAACGGGTAGATATGCCATAGTTTGTGCTGACCACAACAGCATCACCACCTTTGCTTGATTTATTATCCGGTGCACAGGAGTAGCAGCATGAACGATGTTAGATGAGGTTTTGGTGGTACCTGCTGATAAGTTTAAGAGGTATGGAAAGTGCCTCGCGGTCTCTGCAAGGCGGTCAGTGGACTTCATGTGATGACTAGCATGAGGTAAACTTTTCTGCCTGCTTTTTATATTCCAAAACGGTTGAAAGTGTCAATGTGAAGGTGTTTAACCACAGTTTCAGTCGCTCCTGGGTAAGCAGAACCTAAACAACTATTTGCAAGGAGCTCTACCAGCACCGCTATCGCTTTACATTGTTGTTGAAGGGCACTTATGTACAGTGTTACAGGCTTTTCTGATCGAGAAATACCACTTACAAAATTGCCGCATGCTTTTGGGAGGAGCTACTGGAGCTTCAAATCACTACAAGAATGAACTGTAGTTTCATTTTAAAAAAAACTGGGTAAAGAATGATCGATTTTCAGTCTGTTTAACGCAAAAGAATTTTTCAGTATGGGTGCACGAGAACAGAAGTTATTAGCCTTTGTGACACTATGATGACTAGGAGACGTGGCCTGGCTCATACGCCTGGCTCGTACACTGAAGTTGGTGACCCATCTCTCATTCCGACCATGACGCAGCGGTAGCGTGGAGCTCGAACAAGTAGAACCAGTCCTGCACGGGTCCATTGTCCATCGACTTGTGTGGCGCTATGATGACTGTGCCTGGCTCATATGCCTTGTTTATTCCAAAGCACATGCACTTCTTCCTTCTCTGCTTCTACTAACCATCGCTACGATCTTATATCACATCTTCATACTTTAATTTAAAACCCCAGCAAATGACAAGAAAAAGATGTTCCCATTCTTTCACGTTACACTTTGCCAGTGGCATCAGTGGCTGGTTCTAATTACTGAGCGCTTCTTATAAAGGCACTCTGGAAGTCTTGTTGGCTGTTGTGCTTTGCAGCTAGTGTTCTGCAACTGCTTTCAATAGAGTTAAAAATGAAAATCTTAATGTATCTGAGACACTTTAAATGGCGCTTTTACCATTTTTGTGCACAATAGTGTGGCCTAGTCTGCACCATATGAATATTACATGTGACATGTCTCGTCAGATAAGGCAGTATACCCAGGCAATTTTGTCTTTCGCACATGATGAAATGTCGCTTCCAATCATAAAAATAGCCATTGTGTCACTGTAGTCCAAAACCAAAGTGGTGTCCCCATTGCAGTAAATTTATAACAGCTTTGTTTTGGGGGCGAAGCTGCTGAGGGTGATGGGCTTGTTCGCCGTTGTCTGTCGTAGCCACCCCTAACACTCGGAGTATTCACTAGATAGCGCTGCAGCTGCCACCATCAGCTTGTTTGCACGGCAGCAACTCGAGAGCTGCCGCCTGAACGGCGGGCGCGAGTTCACGTACGCAGTGCTAAACCGCGACCTGGCCTTCATGTGAGGTGTACTCAACACGGTGCAGTACTGGCAAGAAAGCCACAAGGAACTTTTTGCTAGGCCAGCTGGGCAAACAGCACGTGTTTCCTCATGCGTTCTGCCGCAGAAGTACGCTGGGATAGACTTCTTGAAACTCTGGAATGGCTGCGAGTGGGATTCACGGCTTACAAATGTACCTCTGGAACATCTCCCACTCATCATCGTTCACTCCATGAATATGTGATTTTTTTTGGCATTACCATTTGTACAATGATATCAGTGCATTCTGCAGTTCTAGAACATGTGATAAAAACGACATACGTAATGTGTGTCAGCAGGGCCCCTTAAAGCTAGTTGGTAGGGATTCGCCATTGTAAGCTCTACATCTTCCAGTTGTGTAAGGCATTCTTGTTTGTGATAGCTGGGCTCTGAGTAGCCTGATGCACATTGTGGGTTGATGAACTTATGTGCTTATCTTTGGTATTGCAGGCTGAGGAAAGGGAACTCAAAAAGATTAGGAGAAAGATTCGAAACAAGGTAGGCTATGACTGCATTGGTCTTATTGCTTGTAATTGGTGATTGATAAGGACGCGACATTTGTATGTGCATAGCCTGGCCGTAAAACATTACATGATGCACCATTAAAATGATCAGAAGGAGAGAATAAATACCTTGAGATAACGCATAGAAATAGCCACACACTTCTATGTTCGATTTTTACTGTTAGCACTGCTGCAGTATTATTGTCTGTATCAAGAAAGCTCTGCAAACAGTCTTGTTTGTTGTATGTGATCAGTCATTAAAATTACCACAGCAAGCCAGCTTGACAGTATAGCTTTGAGACAAAACACTCTGTACTTCCATACTTTCACATAACATTGCAGAGAACATTGCTGGTCACTTGACTTGCATGCGGCATTCTGACTGCTCTTTAATAGAATGGCATCACTATTTAGCTGATATGTTTATTGCTGGTGGTCTTCATATTCAGGCATTTCTTTAAGTTTACTACGGCAAATTGGTGCTAGGAAGTTTGTGAACACTATCATAATGCATCATGGCCAAGTTTGCTAGAATGTGTGGCTTTTTGAGATAGTATAGTTGTTTTAATATAGGTACATAAGTTCTTCCCATTTTCGTTAAATTTGTACCAAAACTCTGCCATAATACTTACTCTTTGCAGCAATCAGCACAGGACAGCCGAAAAAGAAAGAAAGAATATGTCGATGGATTAGAAAGCAGGTGAGTATAGAGATGTCATTATGAGAGGTTTCTCTGGAATGGTTTTCAGTAATAACCAAAGCTAGTAGTACTGAGGAAATTCCTTGAGTTCATTGTCATGGAACTGACATACAAAGTAAATATGTGCGGCCTGAACATGTGAATTTGAACAAAAGCTATGGTATGTCGGACATTTTCAGCTGAATCGATTTTTATGTGGAATTTCACTCGTGAATGTTCGGCATAACCTTAACTTTTGTTCTAATAGGTTTAAAGCGTCCATTTTTTTGTTACACTGTGCACAGTTCTGATTGCAGATTATTGTGATATGCTCATTTACTGTATTTACGTGGCTGTAGGTCAACCCATTTTGTCTTATTTTGAAATCCGAAGTTGATGGGTTGACCTAGAATCGAAAATTAGTTTCGGTTGTAAAGACTCTCTAAAATTATCCTCGAGTATTCTCGTGAAGCTAGCTTTTTTGCACATCTTGAAGCACTGCTGTGAAGGACACTGGAATTCAACTATGCTTTGTGAGATTTCGTAAATAAATTTTAAAAAATAAATGTACTCATGTTCCTGTTTCTTTTTTTGTTTTTGGGTGCATTTTTAGGGGGTTTACCTGCATTCGAGTCAACTTATAATTGCATAAATACGGTATTTACTATATCACTTAGTTTAGAAAAGGTCTTGCTCCCCAAAAAGCACTTGAAATATTTTGTGTTAAGTAATGTACTAGACAAATGACTCATGCTTGAAATTGCACACACCAATATTGATCAACTCGAAAAGTTTCATCAGAATTTATAAACAAATAAACTTTTTTTTAAGTTTCATTTCCCTCTAATCAATTGCCTGTTCTCATTCATTCAAAGCATTTCAAGCGGTTAATCTCAAAACAAGCTCTTAATTCTATTATATTGCTCGCTGCTTTTTGCATTGTAATGTGCTCAATGTCCTCTGAGCATGAAGCTATGTTCAGCATTGGCCGTTCCATTAGCTCCAAAATGTTTGTCTCCCCTTGCCCCGTTCATTCTTTTGTCAGATTATAACTGCTATTTTCTCACCATTTGTTCTAGAGTGAAGCAATGCACAGCACAGAATGCCCAGCTACAGAAGAAGGTAGAGATTCTCGAGAAACAGAATAAGTGAGTTTAAAAAGTTACTTTGCTTTAAGCCTGGTCTGTGTTGAGCTCTGTGATGTCCTAATATTTGATAAATTGTGTGCTTCAGTGGTTGTCATTTTCAGTCGACTCCTCTTAAACTAAACTCTAAGGGGATCAATAAAACTGTTCGATTTATCAGAAGTCATTTAAGCAAAGTACACTTATTTAGTGAACCAAGACCTTTATTCGAAATAGCACAAACCTCACCTCACTCATGAGGATGAGTAGAAGAAAAGGAGTGAAGAGTGGTTTGTTTGGCAAGCTTGAGTTGATTTTTATCAAGGTACGCACCCATGCCTGACAAATTAGCTAGAAATTCTGGACAGGCTTCATGCTCAAAATAGCGCTGCAAAAGTTCAACAACCTTTTTAGCTGATAGGTCTGGTGGCACCACTGCACTGGCAGTATTGTCATCACATTCATTGCTGGCTGGTTGATCCCTCATCTTGCACTTCGGCAATCATTTTCTCGACAGTCTCTTCACGACAGGTACGGACATTTTCATCAACTGATTCGTAGTCCTGCAGCGTGAAAGGGGCAGAGGGCACGACCTGACTGAATACTGTCTCAATGTCGGCATCAGCAGGGCTTTTTTTTTTGTTTTTTTTCATCAGGTACTGCTTTCTGGCGCTTGAAAGCCAGCAGGTAAAGCATTTGTGTATTGTTGTTGCTTTCACTTGCTCCCAGGCACAAGCCAACATGTGGATTGCTGCCAATAAATCTATGCTGTGGCATTTCCCGCTGCCCTTCTAAACAGCATTTGATGAAGCAGTTGTCTGCGGTAATGAACTTCAATGTTCTGAATAACCCCTTGATCCATCGGCTGGATCACTGCCGTTGCATTGGCTGGCGAGAACTCCAGAGTGATGGCTTGGGGTCCTTGAACCTGACCGTGAGCTGGGCAATTATCCACGATGAAGACAACCTTCCTGCCTTGCCTCGTAAATCTTGCGTTTTCCTCCCATAGTCAGTTTTCGAAATTGGCCATGGTCATTCACCCTCTTCCGTTTGCATGGTATGCAACGGGAAGGTGTCGAACGCGTTTGAAACAATGTAGGTGCCTTGATTTTTCTATTAGCAACAGCTTCAGTTTCTCATCTCCTGCCATGTTTGCACCCACCACAGTGATGCGATCTTTACTTCGTTTTACTCCACTACAGGCTTCGCCTTTGAAGGTGAGAGTTTTTGATGGAAGCGCCTCATAAAAAAGACCCGTCTTGTCGACGGTGAAGACGTCTCTTGGCTCAAAGCTCATCAAAATTTCCTTAAGGCGCCCCTGTTGCCAGTCGGTGCCAATGTCTCTGCTGACTGCATCCACTCTCACCTGAGATTGCTTTGAAGACTAGGACATGGCGTGTTTTGAAGCGGCTGAGCCATCCGTCGCTTAGGACAAAGTTTTTAACACCCATTTGCATGGCGATCTCTCCAGCTTTCTGCTCTCGAGTTTTCTCGAGAACTTTTTTGCTCGAGAACTTTCTGCTTAAGGACAAACTGGAACTTCATGCACGCTTGAACCACAGAAAAAGAACTTTTTCTAGTTGTTCATGAGGTGTCGTCCGTATCTGCATCCGTTTAGGTGTTAAGGTCCCGTTCTTAACTCTGCCTTCAAACTTTTCTCTGTCAATCCAGATCCGCGACAGCGTCAATTTCGGAATGCATTTTTTCGTCACCTCCGTCTTGGGCAGGCCGCTTCGATCGAGCTCCTAAAGAATTTGGCGTTTTTTTTTTTTTAATTTCAAGCGAGAGTGAATGGTGCAGCCACTTTCTTTCCATCGGGATGAAATAACGCCGTGATCCACCGCACTTTGCGGCACAAATAGGCGTAACGCACAATTGACTCGCCGACTCTGCTCCCACAGCCATCAGCAAGAATGGCTAATGGATTGGCTTGTCTCGATCTCGAGGTGTTGCCAGTGGTTGTTAGACTACCTTTGGCATAAGCGAGTCTATGCTGTGTTGAGAGTTTGTGCCATTTAACCGTAGGTGACCAATAAGCACTGTTTCGATTAACTGATGAATCTTACTGTACAACACATAGAAATCCAGCCATATAAGCCCGTATAGATCCGTTAATGAGGCATTTTCCTTTAAACAAGTTTCGTTTATTGGGAGTCCACTGTAGTTTGCATCTCTGTAGAGCTATTGACGTACATATTAGAAGCGGAAGTTCTTTCATTTGTCTCTTACTTTAGGGATCCGAGCTGTAGTATGCTGTCAACGTGTGCTGTTGTGGCTTGGCTTTTAGCAGGGAAAAGCACAAATATTGTAGCCATCTGCACCACACTGTGCGCGCGTCCTATAAGGAGAAGTCTTCTTCCTCTTGTTCTTCAAGTGCGTTGATGCTGACAAGTGCGAAGCACTTCATGGCCTAAGCTGCCTGAATCTGTCATATGCCGTTGTAACGCAGGAAAAACCAGGTATAAAAATAGGAAAAATAAGAACGCAAGCAAGAAATAGAGAGTGTAAAAAGAGAAAAAGGAGGAAAGAAGGAGTTTGATGAGAAGCATAGAAGGCTACTCAGCTCCACACTTCCTTCAAGCTTGGCACCCATAGTGCGGAGCTGCCTTTATTCTATTCTTTTTACTTTTTTAATTACTAGGCTCGTGGTCTGGTTTTAAAATTGGGGCTGCTGAACATGGAGAATAGCAAAAAAGTTACCAGTTACTCAACTTTGCAGTTGAAAAGCAAATATTATGTTCTGAAAACTGTGCATAATAGAGTGCGTTAATGTTAACAGAAATCATACAGCACTTCAAACCTAAGATCAAGTAAAAAACATGAAAAATGTCTGTAAGATCAAGCAAGAAAAACCATGAAAAAATTGTGTAGATATGCTAACTTAATCATTTCATTTCAGCACTCTGCTTCTTCAGCTCAAGCGTCTTCAAGCATTAGTTGCGAACTCTTCTGGTCGCAGCGCACAAACAAGCACTTGCGTCATGGTAAGATAATCCATCACTTCCTGTGTTTGATGTCTTTTTAATGTCTCAAGGTTCACTGAAAAGGAAAATGAGTTAAGTGTTTGTTATAGAAGCCGTGTGCTGCTGTCATGTGCCCATTGAGCTTCAATATTGTAGAGACAGTGTAGCATTCCCAGATTCCCATTGGTCCTGCTCTCGTCAAGAGGGAAATAAAGCTTACCTGCAACAGGCTATGTAACTACTACATTCTCAACTACATCAACAGATTTCATTGATGTAGGCTTTGCCTTGAGTAGAGGGTGCTGTGGTGGAGTTTTGTAAAGACATTTTAAAGGGATTTTGTGATTGATGCTTCTCTTGACCGTATTTCTCCGGGTGGTCGAACACAATATGTTGTGTTGGTAGTTTCTTTCATGTTGGCAACAGCGATTGATTAACTGTAAGGTGACTAGTTTCATTGGTCCATCAGATAGCTAGGAATTACAAGCATGAAATTCAAAACCTGAGAAGCCACATTCATCCAACTGGAAATGGCTTGAGTGGAAATTGTAGCTAGCGGTAGCTACGATGGTTGTGTTTGAACACTGAATTGTCTGTGAATAGAATGATGTCCTGCTGCATGTTTTCCGAGCTTACCACATTACAAGCTTTTGTTGTTTCCTTTTCTTTTCGTGTGCAGGTTTTACTGCTCTCCTTTGCCCTGCTGCTGTTCCCCAACCTGCGTACAAACTCCTGGGGACAACCTCGATCTCATATTGAAGTCGGCGTCAGAGAAACTGGCCCCGATTTCAGGCATGCAATCTCTCCTGAATTGCTGTTTAGGTAGTACATATTCAGTTGGTGTAAAGTTGGTACAGTCATTGCGGTGTTGGGATAACATAGTTTGGTTTGCAGTTCTTGTGTTTGTGTTCGCTTCTGAATGTGGCTTGAGAAAAAAAAGTTCTGTAAAAACCTGCGTATAAGAGTCATTATCCGTGTATGTTTACTGTAAGGTTAAGGCCACCCGTAATGATCTCCAATTACGTGCAGTGGATGCTATGAGGGCTGAAAGCTTGCAAACGTCTGCTATACAGGGCAAGCTTACAGTGACTTGTGCACTGGCGGTTTGTCAGCATCAGTCAATCTCGGCCGCTACTATTTCTCTTCTAAAGGAAGCTAATTTCTACTTTCACAGTTTCAACATTGTGTGAGATATTTTGACAAGCATGCTGAGCTCTGATGCATGCCTATGGCAAAGTAAGTAGAGTTTTAACGGTGCCAGTTGGAACGAGAACGAGTCTAGTGGCGCCACCACCGAATAATGCCTTCCCTGCTAAGAGTCTTGATGAGTCACAGTTAATGAAACCAAAACTGCAAGTACATGCTGCGAAAAATTATTGGGATCTGTGTGTTACATTAAACAGTTTTCAAACTTTACAGCATGAAAAAGACAAATAAACTCATGTTATAGTTGGGTGTTTCCAGTATTTGGATAGATGAGAGTAGACACAGTGGGTGCTTGATGATATGGGACCAGCGTTGCAGTCCTCGTACTAATGCTGAGAATAAGGGGCTCAATAAAGCCTGAAACCTGAGACTGTAACCTGAAAAACACTTTGCTATAGGACAAGAGGAATGATGTTCCATAATATGTACCAAAGACACACCTTGCATTGTAAAGCAAATTATGGCTAAGGAGCATAAGACCAGACTCTGAATCAAAATTTCAGAGTGTGGAATTGTTCAGTGCATGCTCCTTACAATTAGTCATTAGTTGTTCCAAGCTCCGTGTGGCACCATTAGGGAACTGATGAATAAAGCTCGAGTGGTGAGTGACAAATCATGTCATTGGCATAATTGTTAATAGACATGACAAGTCATTGACATGAGATGTCATGACGTGTTGAGAAAGCATAGCTATGTCTTCTTGCAAGGTGCACTCTTCCTTGGTACAGCACCTGTTTTGTTAACACCGTGTTTATTGGTCATAAGGTGGTTTTTCTCGGTTGCAGTGATATGGTATCAAGGTGCCGCATGGAAGGCTTATGTAGGCATCTACAGGGGATAGGTCCTTTATAGTATTGCAGCCTACCTATATGCTACAACCTCTGTAGCTCTTTTGGTTCCTACAGAGCAGCCATGTAATTGAGTTATGAATTGCGTGAGATGCCTTAGATCTATAAAGAGTTTCCTAAAAGATCCTAAAAGAGTTTCCTAAAATTAACTAGAGGGGACTTTGGCGCTGCAATCGTTCAGTGACCATGGGAATGATGGGTAGTACACAGATTTGCCTAGCCTTCGTACTTGCGGGCAACAAATTGTACTTGCGGCTTTGTTTATTGCTCGTTTTGGTTTTGTTTTGAAAGAACGAATGAACCGTTTTGAATTCCGTGACCTGATTTGAAATGGAGAAGCCTAAAAAAATAAGGTGGTCAAGCGCAACTGCTGAACATAGTTGATTTTTGTTTCGTGAGAAAACACCTCCAAGCCACACGAATACACACGGAGCCAGAAGCAGGCCTGAAAGTACGAAGATTGGACAAATTTGTGTACTGCCCATCATTCCCATGCTCGCTGAAGCGCCGTGCGTTGCAGCTCCCATAGCCACTAGTGCCAGAGTTTCCTTTAGTGTATATTAGGAAACTCTATGGCTTAGATTATCTGCATGTGTTGCCAAGAGCTGTGCATAAAGTTTTTTTTTTTTTGACATCATGCATGATGATGCTATATAGTAGTATGCAGTCACAAGAAAACAGATGTTTACCTGCGCAATAGACCGCAGTGGGTAGGACCAGGTTGCCCATGGTATTAAGGAATCATGCAATTTAAAAAGAGGATTAAGTTAAATGTGGCAGCCATTATGAGCCGCCAAAGGTGGCCTAGCACGTAGAGTTTCCTAAATATACACTACACGAACTCTGGTGCTAGTAGTCTATGAGAGCTGCAATGCGCGGCGCTTCAGCAAGCATGGGAATGATCGGTAGTACACGGCTTTGTCTAATCTTCGTACTTCTGGCTGCGTGTTTGTGTGGCTTGGAGTTGTTTTCTCATGAAAAAAAACAGCAAATGTTCAGGGTTGTATCACCATCTTACTTTTTTATGCTCACCATTTCAAATCCGGTCACAAAGTTAAAACGGGTTCGTTGTTTTCTTTCAAACAAACCCGAAAAACAGAAATAAACCAAGCCACAAGTGTGATTCGTCGCTCGCAAGTACGAAGACTAGGCAAATTCATGTGCTACCCATTATTGCCATGGTTGCTGAACGATCACAGCGCCAGAGTCCCCTCTAGTTAACTTTAGGAAACTCTATGCCCTAGCACATGCAGAAAAGCATTCGCCTTGTATAGTGGCTTTCTAATAATGAGAGCTGCTAGAGAGACTACTCTAAAATTTTCGGGTGACAAGTGTACCATGCGGATTTTTCTTCTTGGAAAATAGTTGGCTAACTCTAATTCCTACGTGATGAAGGCCTTCATGTTTTTATTCAAATATGCAACTATGATGCAGGGCTACAGGGCAAGCTGCTCGAAGAAAGTGAATAATGGCGAAATTCATGCAGGGCGTTCTCGTTCCCTGCTGTATGCTTCGGAGCCAACGAGAGACTTCCACCAGGAGTACAGCGATGCCGCCAAGGCTGCTGCCCAGTACATCGAGGAGGACATCGATGCCTCAGATGATGAGGGCGTCTCGATGGCGTCGACGTCGCCTTCGTCACAGGCGTCCAAGTGGGCGCCGCCCTCAAGCAAGGGCCTAGGCTGGGGCTTAGACCTCAGCTTCAGCCTTCCCGGAGGCAAGCGTCATTGGATGGCAGTGTCCGAGGACACTGCCCATCCCATGGGCGCTGCCATGACCATGCCGCCGGACAAGAGGGCTCGGCTCGGAAACTACAGTGCGCTGCCGTCTCACAATAACAGCCTGCACCACCATCCAGTGGTGATTCAGATGCAGCGGCAGGCCTGATGACCTGACCTAGAATCTGTGCATGCATAAGTTCTTCTCATTGCTCTTTGGTCAGCTGATCATCTGCCTCTCACATTTTCTTTTTCTTTCTTTTCATTTTATGGCTGGTAAGTGGAAAACTTTTTTTTTAGACTGTGTACCTCTTCTTTCTTTTCTCTCTCTCTCTTTAATTTTACCCATTATCAGTCATTACTTTGTCTTTTCCTACTCTACCATACATTGACTAGTAAAAGTCTAGTGTTGACTTCTTTTGAATCAGTAAAAGAAAAAGAATATTGGGCAGAGCTGCTCAGTGATTGAGAGAGACACTGTGCGTACAAGGCAAGGCTGCTTTTATGGACTTGCCACAAATACCAGGATCATTGCCAATCAGCTTTGTATAAAATTGCCCCATTGCACCTTTTTCTCTCCTCACCCTGCTGAATTTTCTTTTTGCCTTCTACTTTCACAAGAAGAAGAGCGTCACATTTCCCTTCTTCTTGACCTTTCTCCCCCCACCAGGAGAGGTGTCTGGTTATTAAGATAATTCTTCTGTTGTGTTCATTTCATTTACAAGTTTTTTATTATTCTCATTTTTTTCTGCCACTGTGCATGTTGTATCAGACAGTACTAACTGACAAGTTACGATCCAGACTGCTAAAGTAGGAAGTGTTGTTTGGCTTCAAGTCTGGAGGCTAGGTAAAAGCTGTTATACAGTAGCAATGCATCTGGCCTCTCTAACCTAAGCAAGGAGTGGAGTGTTCTAGTGGAAAGAACTTTTTTTTTACATTTCCAAGTTGATGCCTTGGTTGGCACATGCTCACGGGTGTCCCAGGCATCTCTTGATTTTAGCATCGGTCCCATCGTGTCATTCGTCGCATACCGCTTGCTACTGTTTTGTGATGTCTGCTAAGATCCAAAGAGACCCCACTTCCTTTCTTCTCCCCTCTTTTTTTTTTTTTTCCCTGGTAAATGTAACTTGCAATCATTCCTCTCTCTCGTTTGTACGCTATCATCTTCATTTGCGGACCACGCAGCTTTAGTAGTGCGTGTGCGCTATGTTGTCACTGACGTGCAGGGCTCTTTGCGCTGACCTGTCTTTCTTTTTTCTTGTCTGTTCTGCAGATGGCTGTGTTCTTTACAACAGCCGCAATATATTTACAAAAAACATATTGCTTATATACATGTATTTTTGTCACACGTCGTTTGTCATTGTTAGCGGGGTGCTTGACTAACCTCTCTGTACACCTCCCCTTTACCCGGTGTGTGGTGGTCCCCCCTTTTTTTTTTACTTTGATTGTCTCCCCTTAGAGTGGATGATGACTTGATTATTATTGGCATGAATGATTCATAGAGAATGCATAGACACCACATTGGCATTGTATAGGTGTTTGAAATAAAGCCTCCATGAAATTGTGATCATTTTGTCTCGTGCGGGATGGGCAGCATGAGAGAGCACGAGTTAGTGCTCACTGGCATTGAAATTTGGTTGCATTTGCTGCTGTACTAAAAAAAAAGGAAGTCGAGTCCGCCTTTTTGCGTAAGACAGTGCTTTAATGTTTTGTATATAGCATGACCGTACATATACATTAAAAAAAAACAGATGACCGGTAGCTTCTTTGTTGAGGAACTCTATTAGGGCTCAAATATTATAAGCGACTAGATCTTGTGAATGTTTAGACCGCCTATGCATGCTCAATCTGACTATGAGAACTAAGAAACGGAGCTTGAGAGCTCCCATTTTCAATGCTTCCATCATATAATTAAAAACAATGTGATAACATCAATAGTAGTGTAACAATTCCTTAACTCTCCTTTTATCCTGCAGTTTCCATACAATAGCGGTCCAAATATGTTTAGGCAGTGGGATCTGAGAAAGAAAAGCATTCATTTCTTGAATCTTGAGCACAGAGACTGGTTATAGAACTGGTAACATGTACTGGTGTGTGGAACTAATGTGCTAGCACTCTACTATTTAATGGCTGAAAGTAAATTTAAAAGTAAAACTGCATCCTGCCTATGGGCTACTTCCCTTGTCTGTGTGTGCATAGTAATTTTTTTTATAAAAGCGTCAAACTAAGGAGAGTTCTGCTTCGCACTTGAAACTCTTTGGGCCACGAATAGAAGGCAATGTACGATATTGCACGAGTGGTACCACACTTGAGACAACTTTTCTTAACAGCACTTTGGAAGTTACAGAACCGAAGCGCATGCCTGTTGCTGAGCCCAGAAGTAGTACTTATGTATAATGATGACTGACATAAATGCCACATTATTTATTATGCGACTCAGACAGCGGTGGGAAGTCGTAGGTACAATGGAGTTATTGTTCACCTTGCAAGAGTGCCTTCCTTTTTTTTTTTTTTTTTTCCATTTCATAGGACAGCATTATTTTTTCAGTGCGCCTGTTTTTCGAAGTAAACATGGCGTCCATGACTTAGTGGTCAGTGTGCATCTGGAAATGCGCTGTTTAGTTGTCTTAGAAAAATATACTCGTAATATGGCACTAAAATGTACACTGACCTTCAAAATGTTTCTCCCATTCACATTTGCCTGTTTATAACTTTCTAAATGCGTTAACGATACAAGCAAGCAAACCCAAAGTCTGCCGCAAGCTGCCGTACGATTGCGGAAGTAACATGAATGTGCTGAAATCCCACCTCCCCAATCTTTGGCCAAATTTCAAGATAAGTTGTCGCCCAGTATAGTAGTATGCATCATGTTAGAAAATGTTGAATAGCAATTTGAAGAAGTTTAGTGCCTCTCAATGTTTTTGAATTGATCAAATAGTTGTATAACAAAGATATATATATATATATATGCAGTGCTAGTATATAAGTAGAAGCATGTCAGTCTGTTAATAGTGTAAAAAAAGTAAACAGGACTAGCTAAACGGGACCAGCATTGTCACTTGTCAGCTTCGGTGCTTCGTGTGTAGTGGACCTCAGGGCAGGGCGCGTAGTGTGTCGGCAGCCTGGAAAAAAATATGTGAAAAAGGGGGTGAGGGCGTCACTACTGCAAATGCGACAGGAAAAACTTCCGACCATTTCTGGAGTTGTTGCCATGCTAGAATCTGCAAAGATTTTAGAAACTCGAATATGTACCCCTAAGCAGGTAAACTCTTGTAGGTGCAAATGATATAGCAGTAGTTGTAAGCTAGGGGGTCATTCACGCTTCGTTTCACACAGCATAGAGGCAAATTCTTCTAAGGTATGTTCATTCAAACTTTATGCCAAATGTGTTAGAGTATTGAATTGGCACTAATTCACTATCAAGCAGAAAATGATAACCATTACACGACAGGTTTTCCTTTAAGATAGTGCTCAATGTGTTGTGTTCTGTACCTGGATCGCCGCAGACCAGTGGTGCTGGTGAACTGTTGAAATGTAGTAAAGGTAGACTGTTGAATTGTTTTTCCACCCAAAAAAAACTTTAGTCATCAGCAGTATGGGTGGTTTTTGACCATACAATGGTTCTAATAAAAAGCTTGAAAGTCTGTGCACATTGCTTGTGCAGTTGAACCCCTTTCAGAGACATGTAACAGGAACAGTTCTTGTCTTTTATATGAGGTGTCTCTTATGAGCAGGGTACCACGTATGCATTTTCTTATCAACACCTATTTCAATGTAGACACACTGTTATCTCTTACATCAGAGTCTTTTATAAAGGGGTTCAACTGTATGCACTTCAGCTGGAACAGCACGGAGACGTGACGGGAAGGGACAACACACAGAACTGGCAAACCTTTTTTAAATAAAACAATCGGCGCAAAGAATTCAGCAGAAATGAAAGTGTAAAGTAGACTAGCAGGAAGTGGTGCAACTACTAGGATGGTGAATACGCCTTCAGGCGAATTGTTTGACATACTTGCTCTGGTGTCAGATCCCTCTGAGGCTGAGCAAGCATCTCGTAGCCAACCATGAATTTCTGCACAGTAGCCGACCGAAGCAGTGGAGGCAAGTAGGTGGCGTGCAGCTGCCAATGTGACACATCCTGGTTCAAATATTCGCCTGTAGGTGCCCCTGGAAAGCAGTCAGTATATGGGTGCAACATTTCAGCTTGTTTCTGTGGAAATTTAACGAGGTGTGAAACAAATGGCTACACTTCTGCAACATGTACAGCCCTCAGATCAGCTGTCTTGGGGCAAGAAAAGTGTCACATTTAAAAATTTACTTCACTCACTAATCTGAAGCAAACAGCTTGAGACAACAGGTGCCGAGTATGCATTGCTTAATGGACGCTGCCATAGATTCTCTCTCCAAAACTGGTCTTTTTTTTTCTAAAGCATTATTGGCTGCCAAGAAACTCTTACGAGTCTTGAAGACCTGCCTTACAGCATATTTTGTCAGTCATTCACTGCAGTGGAAGTCGGTGTCAGAGAACACTGCACCTGGTTCTGGCATACAAGTCAGGTCCTGCGCACTGTAAAGTAAATTAACTGCAACAATGTTGGCGGGCCAGTTGGCTTATAGTACAGAGCGTGGAACAGTGTGCTGAGATGGGACAGAAAGCTAAAGGAAGCATGCATACATTGCACTTTGTATGTGTGCTTCCTTTAGCTTTCTACCCCATCTTGGCCCACTGTTCAACACTCTGCGAAGTAAAGCTGTTCCGACTTGACTAGTTTCAGCAAGCAGTGCGAACACATTGCAGCTCCCTGCATAGTGCCAAGCAAAATTTCTGCTACTGAGGCTAGCATGGCACTTTTTTTAAGACTGCTTATCTAACAAGGCATGTTCGATAAAGGCCTTTACAATATTCAACGTTCTTGAAATTTACTTCTGCATAAACCTATCACCAAAGCATTTTTTTTGCAAAAATTATTTAGCTACCAAAACATGCAGCAGCAGCTTGTGATTGAAGGACAGAATGCTCAGATTGACCCTACAAGCTAGTTAGCAGTCATGAGATGAGAAATTAAAAATAAAGGGTGGGTGCTGGAGCCAATAATTCCGACAAGCAAACTTGTTTTTTTTTCAAGGCTGCAACTCAAGAGTAACACTTGGCTAATAACGATGTTAAAGACACAATCTCACCATGCCAACCCATGGAGTATGGAAATGAGGTGCTGAACAGGTTGTCATACTTTGTAAGCAGCCTTCTCATGATACTTGCCAAGTCTGCAAATTTGAGATTCAAAGCAATGAGCATCACAGTGATCTTTTGGGTAATTTTTATTCTCTTAATGCTACTCGATACTAGAAAACCTGTTTGTGCATGTTAAGTCTTCATAAACGGTGCACCCTTAAAACAATTACTACAGAGGCAATTTACAGTGTCTTGCAGGTAAAATGCTCAGGTGATAATAATTTTCGGAGTTTAACATCCCAAAACTATGATACGATTATGAGAGACACCGAAGTGGAGCGCTCCAGAAATTTGGACCGCCTGGGGCTTTTCAACATGCACCCAAATCTAAGTTCACAGGCCTCAAGGATTTTTGGGTCCATTGAAAATGTAGCCACTGCAGCAACGTTTTCAGGTTCTCAACATATGAAAAAAAATATTCAGGGTGTATAATTCAAACATATTTGGTACCTACATAGTTATAAGCGGCTCCTGAAGAGTCTTTGTAGCTTCATTATAAACTTGGGCGGCTTAGGTGCAGTTAAGTCGGTAAATTAAATTCCTGCTAAAATGGAACAGGCTCGAATATATGATTGGTTTCATACTTGAATTTTCAGCAAATGGAATTCCTGGCAACAAAACATATGCTGGTCTCGCAGCTCGCATTTGACAGGTCAAAGCGTCCACTATACAGCCGAATAGCGGTCGAACACTTGTGAACATTTAAACAAAAGTAACTTTAATTAACAGGAATTGGGGTCACATTTTAACAAACATTCACAAGCACTCAGTAAGTCGCCGTAAAAAAAGCGGTGCTGTTGCTCGGGCTAGTAAGGTGAGTCTGCCCGCCACCTGGCATTTCTTCTTCCGTCGATGACCGATGCTTTCACTCTCTCGGTGAGCCGACAGAGAAGATGACCAATGACGCTCTGAAGGTCGTTTGCGGCGCCCGTTTAAAGTGGCCATAACAAAAGAAAAAGGGTTTTCAAGACATGGACGTAGCCCCTATTTGGGGCTTAAGCGTCCCCCCCACTTCCGTTGGCGGCACTTGAAAGGCAAACACGGCTTCTGGCCGCTCTTTTCGAGAGGGGACGGCACACTCCCCATCTGGTGTCTGCTTGTTAGATGCCACTGTTGGTTGATGACGAAAACAAGGGCACCACTTCCGATATCGATCGGCAGAGTTTCTTGATTGCACCATTCCTTGCAATCTTCACCTCCACCTTGCGCACCATTCCGTCTGCACTGGGCAGGCTTTGGGTGACAACGCCGATCGGCCAATCGTTGCGATTTGCTTCTTTGTCCCTGATGAGCACGACGTCACCTTCTTTTATATCCTTTTTTCTCACTTG